TTTCTCCGAGGCATCGTTAACGAGTTATTAACGAAAAACACTGACCAATGAAAGGCGAGCTCGGCTGGCGCGAGGCTGTCTCTTATACACATCTCGAAAATTTTCTCCGAGGCATCGTTAACGAGTTATTAACGAAAAACACTGACCAATGAAAGGCGAGCTCGGCTGGCGCGAGGCTGTCTCTTATACACATCTCGAAAATTTTCTCCGAGGCATCGTTAACGAGTTATTAACGAAAAACACTGACCAATGAAAGGCGAGCTCGGCTGGCGCGAGGCTGTCTCTTATACACATCTCGAAAATTTTCTCCGAGGCATCGTTAACGAGTTATTAACGAAAAACACTGACCAATGAAAGGCGAGCTCGGCTGGCGCGAGGCTGTCTCTTATACACATCTCGAAAATTTTCTCCGAGGCATCGTTAACGAGTTATTAACGAAAAACACTGACCAATGAAAGGCGAGCTCGGCTGGCGCGAGGCTGTCTCTTATACACATCTCGAAAATTTTCTCCGAGGCATCGTTAACGAGTTATTAACGAAAAACACTGACCAATGAAAGGCGAGCTCGGCTGGCGCGAGGCTGTCTCTTATACACATCTCGAAAATTTTCTCCGAGGCATCGTTAACGAGTTATTAACGAAAAACACTGACCAATGAAAGGCGAGCTCGGCTGGCGCGAGGCTGTCTCTTATACACATCTCGAAAATTTTCTCCGAGGCATCGTTAACGAGTTATTAACGAAAAACACTGACCAATGAAAGGCGAGCTCGGCTGGCGCGAGGCTGTCTCTTATACACATCTCGAAAATTTTCTCCGAGGCATCGTTAACGAGTTATTAACGAAAAACACTGACCAATGAAAGGCGAGCTCGGCTGGCGCGAGGCTGTCTCTTATACACATCTCGAAAATTTTCTCCGAGGCATCGTTAACGAGTTATTAACGAAAAACACTGACCAATGAAAGGCGAGCTCGGCTGGCGCGAGGCTGTCTCTTATACACATCTCGAAAATTTTCTCCGAGGCATCGTTAACGAGTTATTAACGAAAAACACTGACCAATGAAAGGCGAGCTCGGCTGGCGCGAGGCTGTCTCTTATACACATCTAGATGTGTATAAGAGACAGCCTCGCGCCAGCCGAGCTCGCCTTTCATTGGTCAGTGTTTTTCGTTAATAACTCGTTAACGATGCCTCGGAGAAAATTTTCGCTAAGGAAAAAGTTACTTCAAATAACCTCATGAATCACCTCTTTCCAAGTATTAACATAATTATGAAGCACCTTGTATACGTTCGATATTACTTATTATTATTAATTTCTACGTTCTCACTGAACATTCTTTAAGGAAATTGTAAACTATTCTAAATCCTTCTTATATATTATTGGTAAGGAATTGGAAAGACACCCGAAGTGTAATACAAAAGAATGAGTAAATGTTGGTAGAACACTTGTTTACAACTTACTGTAACTCGTGTGTGCAAATATTTGCAGCGTGGATTTTTCAAATACACCTAGCGCAAATACAACATCCCGAATGATATTTGTTATTATTTCGAATGCAACGTTTCGATCCATCTGAACTTGCTCGCTATTCATTTGCTTTTCGTTCTGGGTTGCCAATAAATTCTATACGTTTATTGTTTTCCAATGTGTATTTTCGTTTCCCCTTGCGGAGAACAAACAGAAATGCTTCAGTTTTACGTGCGGTTTTCTTGCTATGGTCGACTGGCACGTCATTGTTTGTACGAGACCGATAAAAGAGAATTTATTACATCGAATGTGTCAAAATCATCTGGTACAGTCTTATCTGGTACGTAATGACGCGACAATGTTTTAATGTAAATACATACTGGGTTTTGGTTCATATCAGTCGGTTACTACTCAGTGTCAAAGCGATTAGAGTGTTTATAATATTCTATGTCATGCTACTACGTCAGCATTATTGAGGCGGTATAATAAATAAAAGAAAATAAACAAAAGAAAATTGCAGAAATTATAGGCTACAGCGAGATCATCATCAATTATTTAGTAAATTATTAAGCCGTCCTCGTGTAATGACGAGATGAGAAAGCAGACAAGTTCGTGCAATAGTTAAAAATACGAGGCGTCTTAATTCTAAACCAGTGAACACGAAACATTTCTAATCGCACTACAATAGTTTATATACAATAGTTTATAATTTACTTAACAAATGAAATATCGTTATCGGCTCAGAAGCCAAGAAGTGCAAATCCATTAACCTTAAAATTGAGGTAAATAAGAATTTTGCGAATTAGCTGTAAAAAAATATCATTGCCACTAATAATGCATAGAAGAATTTTTATCATAAGATGGCATACGAATGAACATAAAAAGAAGAGAAACAAAAGGAAAATGTCAAAATGTTCCTTTAGAAAAAACAATTCCCTCTGAACAATTTCGTTTAGTCATCCTGCGGTCAATATGAGTGCCGCTATCTATTCTTTATTTATGAAGAAATCAACGATATTGATTCATCGACCAAAAAGTCCTGTAAAAAAAGTAACAAAATCGAATAAAACCTCATTCGATAAGTATAAAGTAAATTGTGTTTCGAAAACAAACAAAAAGCACAGCAATTGGTCACCCCGCAGTAACCGGCCCCACTACCCCAAATTGCTAATGTCCAGATGAACCAAATCTTTCCTTTATTGATAGATATAAACACAGAATATTTAGTTTCAACTTTAGTCTTAACTTCTATAAGTCGACTATTTATGTTATAAGTAAAATCTGACTTCTATAATGATCTGATAGCCAACAAAGACAAGAAAATTCGTATCGGTGCATAAATTGGGATTGTCCTGTAGTCGTTCGGGCCCCATCGACAATTTTTTGCAGGGATTGTGTATTTACACTGCGCTTGAATTTGCATCGTAACGAAAAAGCTGAGTGTGCTGGTACGCTTTCCACCCGGGGCGTGTGAGCTATAGCTTTTCTGCTGGTGAAATTGTTGTGTCCAGTCCAAGCCTGATCGCGGCCATGCGTCAGCTGCCCACCGAGTCAGCCCCCCGTTATTCCAGGAGACACGTAGTCGTCACGGTGAACGCGCAACGCTCGCAGACAAGTATTTAATGTCAGCGGAGAGCGCACTCGCTACTCCGTTTTAATCGATCGCGGTGTATCCACTGAAATTAGTTCTCAGGGGTCCTCACCCCCTGAGGTCGGAGGTCGCAGAATTGTGCTGGAATCAGGTCGGAGGCCCCGCGCGACAGGGCTAAGGCTCGGGGGTGAGTTTCGAGGGTGCGCTGGCAAAACGACTGGCGCTAGACGAGCCAAAGTTGAAGCGAAGGGGAAAGGAAAGTTCGTTCTTTTCACTCGACCGCGACGATATCGATTCGACGGGGCGCGTGTATGCGAGTAACAGAAAATTCACAATCCCCACCCTCTACCTACTACCCCATTCTCTACCACTCTACTTTCGTTCGCGCCGTGACGTCAGGGAGTTTGTCGAGGGCGTATTTTAATACGGCGTTATGAACACCGCTGTACAAGCGTGGTTGTAAAGTTACGAGCCCGTAGTTTTCGCGTACAGTCGTGAACAAATACAGTTGTGTGAATAATTGCAAATAACAAACACTTAACAAAACATCATATTTGTATATTTCTACATGAGAAATAATAGAAAATAGAAATAACAGAAAATGGAAATATACAAATATGGTATTTTGTCAAGTTTTCGTTTAGATATCGATAACAATGTAAAGGTTACTTTGAATCTATAATTATGCACATCACTGTATATGTGGACAACATTTTAAAACGGAATAACTTCTTTAAAATTGGGCGGAACCACTTGAATAGTTTTAGATGTTAGAAGAAATAGTTTATATATACTAAATAATGAGTAAACAAATTTTTTAGATCACGTTTTCTTTATACATTTTTTAGATCTTGATGAAGTCAAAAGAGGAGAATCTATAAGGGGTGCGAGGACTAATATTTCAGTTTCCGATTTATAACATATTGCGTGTGGTCCATTTTTGACGATTTCACTGGAAATGAAATCACTTAAAAAGTTGTTCCGTTCTGTATGCTTCAATGAACAAATTTATTCAGTCATTTCCGACCTTTACGGTTAATTATTTTTCAATTATACATGACGAAACATTAAAGTTACTTTCTTCGTAACAAAATAACAACTTAAACTTTTATACTAATTAAATACGTAAGATATAAACGTAACACAGAGAAAAGATATAAAAAATACTTATAACACTATAAGGGTAGGTATTATAAATTTGTTAATCTTCAAAATTTTATTCATTGTTGTTCCTATCTAGAGATTTATCTAGAAATATTTGCTGAATTCAAGTGGGAGAAACTTTTTTACACCCAAGAAAAAAAATGTCTTGTACCAGTCAGATTGTTTTAGTTGAAATTGTCAATAATTAGAGAAGTGGAATATGATCGGACCCTGGTCACACAAACGAAATACATTTCAGAAGGCTAGTGATATAGGAATGTCACTAGTCAGACATGCTGTTGTTTTGATCAGGGAAGCAACGATGTGTTATCCATATCCCATGTCAATCATTCAATATCAGATACGAACGTATTAATTTTTTATTCGATAAGTGACACAGTCATCGTGCGATTAACAGAATGGTAATCATTATACTGTTGATTTACGCATTTATAATGAAAATGAATAAATGAAATACAAAATCAACATTCGGAACAATTATTATTCAATTATTATTTAATTATTACTTAATCATCATTTAATTACTACTTAATTATTATTTAATTATTACAAGACGAAGTGAAGTTCGATTTAGTCTGTATCCCTTGCTATTGATGCAGGTCATTTTCATTCGCAGTCTGATAATCATTGTTGATTGGTGAACTGAATATTTCTCGATTAAATGCATATCACCTTTCGTTTACCTGATCCATAACGTTGTCATAACAATTAGAAGTACATGAACAATTCTAATATGTTTAAGTAGAATAATCGAGGTGAATGCTTCTATTTCTGTTTCAGGCACTGCTGTACCTCATACATTTGCTAGACCCGATTGTCAAAGGCGATTACGTTATTGCCTATTTCCATACGTTAACGACTAGCAACAACTATCCCAGCTTGCACTGGTTGCGGGAGGTTTACAACGTGCTTCCTTACAAGTAATACAAATGTTGAGGCCACTTACAATAGAACTCCCGTTATATGAATACCCGAATATCATTCTATTATACGAACAACTGTTATTTAAACGTTTTATATTATAACAAAACCTGTTATTCAAATATTTCTTGTTACAATGCTGTGCGTATATATACCACGTTTCTGTATATTTGTTGTGACAAAATCTATTCACAATGATTCATGACAACACTTGTACTATTATATGAACACTTTTGTCCCCCAATTAGTTCGTATATATATATACAGGAGGTTCTACTGTAGCTTCTTCATGTAACTCTAAAATACTAAGCTGTCGTTGGATGATTATTAATGGATGATTATAATGTAGTTATAATCTAATAATTTAGTTATAAAATAAATAATGATAGTTTTAATATTATCTTGGAGGAATAGTTAAAATAAGTGTAACTCATTGACTATAGCGATTCGATCCATTCTATCGATTATTTATTAGCTCAATAACTTATTTCGATTTACATAAAGGAAGACATTGACAAACAGGTCACTGTTTTCTCTACAATAAACAGCGTTACAATAAAAGTGATAAAGTGATTTCCTTTGACGTAGGTTGAATGATAAGAGACAATAAAGTACGTGTTTCTTTATCTTGTTGGCGTATAATTATTCGATTCTGAGATCTTCGAAGCACGTATTTGCCAATGTTTAAATCTGATGCAAGAACTTCTGTTATTTCATATTATCGATTGACGTTGTAGGAATTCATAAAATTAATCATTGAAAAGTTAAAATTCAAATTCTACGTAATACATTTTAATATTAACTAGTACGTGAATCAATTGTTCAAAGGGATCAGATTGTAATATTGCGTTTGTATAGATTGTTATATACATTTATAATTTGTAGGATTTTTTATTAAATACTTGGATACTTCATCAAAACATTATATCTATATTCATCCATTAATTGTAATCCAGCTGCTTCAAGCATTGTCTATATTATTTAATTTATTTTATTGCAGATATAAGAAGAACCTCAAACATTTCTATATTATCCATCCGACTTTCTGGACCAAGGTTAGTGTCGACCATTGCTGTTTCAGAAACTTTTCATAACCCCACAGTTAATTATTTTTAATCGAATCGTATATTATACTAAGATATAATTCTTATACGAAGCTCTTTGAAAACAGACTGACCAAGCAAAGCATCTCCAGTTTTTCTGAACGGAATTATAGTGTTCGTTTTATGCGAAGATCATTTATTTTCAGGATTTTCTAGATCACCCTTGTTTTCTTTTTAGACGAGCGATTCAATTAGTACAACAACTTGCATAAATTTACCAACCAACCGTTAGTGTGCAAGTATATATTATTTCATTGCACATCGTAGCTAACATTAAAACGCGTTTAGAGTATTAAATAAATTGCATACGAAATACATATATCGTTTATCATCATGAATGAAAGAGATATTTAAGTGAGCCAACCTGTATAATGTTAACAAATGTGAAATAAAATTTTATCTTAACACCAACTGGTTTCAACGAAACATCAGAAACAAAGTGAACCTGTTGAATAGTCGAACATTCATGAAACGGAAACTAAGAAAGATCGTCCATCATAAAAGATACTTCCTGGTCATTTGACACGATAGGACTGTCGATAAGACGGAATTTTAAGACGCAGATGCATTTCAATTAAACATCTCGATCGCATTTCCCACGTCTATATTGTATAGCGGGTGCACAATCATCGCACGATTCCACCTTCCTTTCGGTTGTCAGTTGATCAATCCTTTCGAGTTACCATTTATGAGTAGCCTACACATATGTAATAGACTCATCTGATTTCCCATCTGGAATAAGCATATCGGAGAAAGAGTCTAAGGCCCTGTCACAATCTTTACGACCTCCTGATTTTTTGTGGTTCTCATACCGTGAATTTAGTATCGCCATGTAAAACATTATTTTAGTGAACATTTCATTTACACATTACCGGCAAGATTTTGGCAGATTTCCATATCAGCGAAAATGTTATTTTGTGTTTTCTGTTTGAAGTATGTTCAGTTATATAGTAAAATAACACAAACTATCTGGCTAATCTTGAAATAAAAATAAAATTTATCTTAAAAATACCTGCCATACAAGCCTGAATCGTGGTCGTTTTCTAATCCTTCGTTAAGCATTCTAGGGTTAATTAATAGGTTTAGTTCTATTATTATCCAGTGATGACTTGTAACAAACTATACAGGGTGTTAAAAAATTATGGTTCTTCCGGGAAATGAGAGATTCCTGAAATCATTTGAAGTAACTTTTTCCTTAGCGAAAATTTTCTCCGAGGCACCGTTAACGAGTTATTAGCGAAATACACTGACCAATGAGAGGCAAGCTCAGCTGGCGTGAGATGACCGAGCCAATGAGCGGAACTGGGCTTCGTGCGCTCGTTGGCTCGGCCGGCTCATGCCAGCAGAGCTCGCCTTTCATTGGTCACTGTTTTTCATTAATAACTCGTAAACGAAACGGTAGATTGCATTTGCACTAAGGAAAAAGTTACTTCAAATAATATCAGGAATCTCTCATTTCCCAGAAGTTCCCTGTATACATTTTCGTAGTTACGTTTGGTTTTTCAGTGTACGCGATACTCGTAATATTTTATTATTCCTTACGTAATATTAACGAAGAAAACTTTTAGGTTCTTCAAAAGATAATCCGTGTAAATGTAAGGGTAAACCATGCAACTTTTGATCATCTTGTTGACATTAAGCTGATATAACATTTTTTTCATGTGTTATAACCTGGTTCACGGAGAGCTTTAATAGAATTTCATGAATAATAAGATAACCTAAGCTGATTGTATTCTGTATGTTTGGTTTGATCCATAAATTCATTGCGAATTTATTAAACGAGGAAAAGAATTACAGCTTTACCAAATGACGTATACAATTTATGGATCAATCTAATGTCTCAGAATGTCTGCGTCGTCTCTGCTCTTTGCATTTTNACCTGCCATACAAGCCTGAATCGTGGTCGTTTTCTAATCCTTCGTTAAGCATTCTAGGGTTAATTAATAGGTTTAGTTCTATTATTATCCAGTGATGACTTGTAACAAACTATACAGGGTGTTAAAAAATTATGGTTCTTCCGGGAAATGAGAGATTCCTGAAATCATTTGAAGTAACTTTTTCCTTAGCGAAAATTTTCTCCGAGGCACCGTTAACGAGTTATTAGCGAAATACACTGACCAATGAGAGGCAAGCTCAGCTGGCGTGAGATGACCGAGCCAATGAGCGGAACTGGGCTTCGTGCGCTCGTTGGCTCGGCCGGCTCATGCCAGCAGAGCTCGCCTTTCATTGGTCACTGTTTTTCATTAATAACTCGTAAACGAAACGGTAGATTGCATTTGCACTAAGGAAAAAGTTACTTCAAATAATATCAGGAATCTCTCATTTCCCAGAAGTTCCCTGTATACATTTTCGTAGTTACGTTTGGTTTTTCAGTGTACGCGATACTCGTAATATTTTATTATTCCTTACGTAATATTAACGAAGAAAACTTTTAGGTTCTTCAAAAGATAATCCGTGTAAATGTAAGGGTAAACCATGCAACTTTTGATCATCTTGTTGACATTAAGCTGATATAACATTTTTTTCATGTGTTATAACCTGGTTCACGGAGAGCTTTAATAGAATTTCATGAATAATAAGATAACCTAAGCTGATTGTATTCTGTATGTTTGGTTTGATCCATAAATTCATTGCGAATTTATTAAACGAGGAAAAGAATTACAGCTTTACCAAATGACGTATACAATTTATGGATCAATCTAATGTCTCAGAATGTCTGCGTCGTCTCTGCTCTTTGCATTTTGTCTCTGACTTTTCTATTTGTTGCCTGTTTCAGATGATGACGTGGTGGTTTACCACGTTCATGGCTCCTGCGATCAAGCAGAAAGTCCACAGTTTGCCTGGCGTGGAATACTTATACGAGGTGATGTCGCCGGAACAGCTGGAAATCCCGGCATATATAACGGAATACGATATGACGGTGAGAATTGCAAAAACTGTTTCATTTAAAATAATACTGGAATAGAAAAGTTCTCTTATACTTCGCTTGTGTATTATCTCCAGATTGCGGATTTCCTGTATCTGTTGCAAGAAACAGGATAGAATTTGCTCTCTGTTGACAATAATTTGAATCTTCACGCGCGATTCTTTCAATCTTCTTATTATCTTAAATTAGAGCTACTTATTTTTGTCAAAAATTCTGAAAATCTGCAGTCTAGTTGACAATATGTCGTTTGTAAGAAAGTGCGCAAACGATAATCCACCAAGCTTTTGTGTCTCATCACTGTGTTTCTCGTTTTCTCTGTATTGATCCTCCGAATATGATTCTCAATTTGGCTTTCGCTTGCACTAACGACGTTAACTTCTACATCGATGATTTCAATAAATTTAAAAATCAGCTATATAATGTTATCAGGAGCTAGTATATTTAGTTTCTGTTCGCTTTGTATATTGTATCATATCGTTTTCATTTTCATTTTTATCATTATTTATTTTTACTATTATTGTGTTAAATTTTTGTAGAAAAGTGAGAAGGGCGCCGTTTAAATTAAATAAATTAAATTGAATTGAAATGAATTGAAATGAATTGAAATGAATTGAATTGAAATGAATTGAAATGAATTGAATTGAACTGAATTGAATTAAAATGAATTGAATTGAACTGAATTGAACTGAATTGAATTGAATTGAATAATCGACTAAACCTAGTACGTTTGATGGTTCCAGATAAACGGCATGAGGTACTACCAACCAGACCCGATCTCCTCATCGCCGTCAACATCGACGTAACTTTCGCTCGGAACTCGATTCTCATCCAGCGAAGACCTGGACAGAGCGAAGACTGGCCGGCTGTCCACCATAATGATAGCACGATTTCACTTGCACACGATTTTCGACTGACGATCGTGCGCAGCTTTCGCAGCATTCTCGCGTGCTAAGAGCCCGGGTCACATCGACTATCGGTCCCCGCAAGCAATTCTCGGAAGAATGAGCTACCGTTCTAGCACCGTTTCCGTCACGAATCTCCGAGGCCGAAAGAGACCATCCCGTCGCTTCGGCGAAGTGCCTCGTAACGGAAGAAGATGGAAGAACGCCTAGAAATGTCGACGCTGTGGACGTTTGACGAAGTGATCGCTGGTGGTGAAGAAAACACTGTCCCTGATCTCTGTGTCTAAACGCTACTGGCGTCGCACGAAGACAGCAAGATCTTCGTTGAATAATTTGGCCCTACATCTCGGTGCTGAACGATCAATGCTTGAACTCCCACATATACACAAAACACATACACATACACACACACACACACACACACAGAGAGAGAGAGAGAGAGAGAGAGAGGCATGCACGCAGGATACGGAAACGGAGAAGTTAAATACATCCACATTTGAAGTAATTGAAAAAGATCGATCTTGGAGGAATTGTTATTCGCTGGAGGCGAATATCCGGCTGCCAAAACAACAATAATCAGTATTGTCGTCGTGTTGTCGTCGTGTAGGGTGCTTCGAGCCCCGATCTTGTACATATTACGCTGTTCGTCCTCACGGACGACGACGATCGCCGACGGTACACGGGGTAGTAAGCGACGACAACCACGAGACCGGAGAAACTGACGGCTTAAAACGCAAACTGTCGAACGCTTTCTGTTATTTTCTTATCCGTCGTTATACAGCGAAGAGTATCTGTTCGACTCATTGTACATCGTATTTTATTATGTAACGTTGGCGACGTTGATCAGTCGCACCCGCCGACGCGGTGTTTTCGATACGCGCGGCAATCGATGGTGCGCGACCGAACGGAAGCGTGCAGAGCTGGTTCCCTTCCGTGGTGCTACGACTTCGGTGATTCAGCGAACTTAAACTGTGGTTGACGCGATTACTAGTGTTGATGATGAATCGATGTTCAATATCGGTGACTAATATCATCCGGATAAATTAGCTTATCGGTGCGTCGCGGGGTACGCGTGCTTGAAACTCACGAAAATTGATCTTTTCGGTTTTCATACTTTCCGGGCGATTTCGACTAATTTGTCCTGAACTGGGATTTTAAAAAATTATGAAATCTCTAAAATATGTACAGTGTGTAGAGGTGAGCAATAACTATACAGCTGATCTTTATGCAAAATAAACATAGACTACCTCGATTGCAATAAACAGAAGTCAAATAAAAATGCATTTCCACCATTAATAAATTTAGTAGTTCAAAATAATATAACAGCATCTCGAAGATCTTCAACTGTTTTCAATGTTTTGTAGTTCATCTGCTCATTTTTCTCATAAATACGTTGAATCCGCTGTCTAGTGATAAGCGATTATTTGTCAGCTGCTCGAAGGCACTTTTAACGAGGTGAAATTTCTAGTTTTTGCTATAACTCGTGGACTGTAGCAGATAAAGAAAAAGTTTCTATGGAAAAGTTGTTTTCTTTTCGATGAAAACTATCATTGTGAATGAAATAAAACTATCATTCTATTTTTAAACAACTAGAATTTGTTTGCAAAATAATATAGGACAAATACTGCAGGAAGAAACACAACTTCTGTCTAAAAACTTTTATTCTATCCACCTTTTCTGTATTTTAACGAATAATAAAAAAAATAGCGGAACTTTCTCTTAAAGCCTTTTCGAGCAACTTGAAAAAAGTTTCTTGTTACATAATTCAAGTTTCATAATTTTTTGAATTAACGGATTCAGGATCTTCTCTTATATAAGCTTGGATTAGGTCTTGATTTGGCAAACTATGCGAAGTCCCGCATCTTATAATGCTATATATTGTGAAGCATCTCGAAACAGTGCAATACTTGTTCATGTTCAAGCAAATCGAAATTGACGTAATGTGTCCTTTCATCTGCAATTACATTTTATGTGTTAATAATAAGCACACAAATTCCAGACCTGTTTGGAAACCTTCTAAACTGCTAAGCCGATTAAACTGCCATCTTGAATTTCTCTCTTCCATATTTTAAATATTGAGCAAACCAGTGAAATCGTTCAGTTGTTCAAAGTCTATATAGTGCAGCAGTACTATGAACAGACGTCTACGTGATACAGTACTTTTTCCCTAATTCGCGTTCAGATTGCGCACAAAAATGGTCAATTTGGAAAGAGAAGACATGATTATTCGAGCCTTACAATTCGTTTTTATAGTTACCGTTTGTCAACAATTATAAAAACGGGACGCAAGGCTCGAATAATCGTATCTGCTCTTCCAAAATTGTCCATTTTTGTACGCAATCTGAGCGCAAAAATTGGGGAGAAATTACTATATCTATTTTCTTAGATCAGTATCGGCTTCCTGCGTTTCTCTCTATAATTCAAGACCGTTTTGTTAACGGTTAATGTATCTTTCCAATTCAGCGTCGAGTGAATCTTGTTCACCGATTTTAGGTCAGATATTATTTTACCAGCGCCTTCCAGTATACGTTAATGTTTACGTATTTTTAATACGTATGTTTAATCTTGATCGGTTAACTTGTTTTCTGGTACAATAAAAGATGGAATCACCAAAGCCATAAATCGACCGCCACGCACAAGAAGCACATCGACTCCGAATCGATTCCTCATCAACACATACCGATCAGTTTCTGAGAAGAGGGTAAAACGTGAGCTGAGTACCGAGGTCGTATTCGCGGTTCAATTCTAGATTAGAAGAAGCAATAAATTTAAGAGCTTTCTCGCGGCACATATACATAGAGACATGNATTTTATGTGTTAATAATAAGCACACAAATTCCAGACCTGTTTGGAAACCTTCTAAACTGCTAAGCCGATTAAACTGCCATCTTGAATTTCTCTCTTCCATATTTTAAATATTGAGCAAACCAGTGAAATCGTTCAGTTGTTCAAAGTCTATATAGTGCAGCAGTACTATGAACAGACGTCTACGTGATACAGTACTTTTTCCCTAATTCGCGTTCAGATTGCGCACAAAAATGGTCAATTTGGAAAGAGAAGACATGATTATTCGAGCCTTACAATTCGTTTTTATAGTTACCGTTTGTCAACAATTATAAAAACGGGACGCAAGGCTCGAATAATCGTATCTGCTCTTCCAAAATTGTCCATTTTTGTACGCAATCTGAGCGCAAAAATTGGGGAGAAATTACTATATCTATTTTCTTAGATCAGTATCGGCTTCCTGCGTTTCTCTCTATAATTCAAGACCGTTTTGTTAACGGTTAATGTATCTTTCCAATTCAGCGTCGAGTGAATCTTGTTCACCGATTTTAGGTCAGATATTATTTTACCAGCGCCTTCCAGTATACGTTAATGTTTACGTATTTTTAATACGTATGTTTAATCTTGATCGGTTAACTTGTTTTCTGGTACAATAAAAGATGGAATCACCAAAGCCATAAATCGACCGCCACGCACAAGAAGCACATCGACTCCGAATCGATTCCTCATCAACACATACCGATCAGTTTCTGAGAAGAGGGTAAAACGTGAGCTGAGTACCGAGGTCGTATTCGCGGTTCAATTCTAGATTAGAAGAAGCAATAAATTTAAGAGCTTTCTCGCGGCACATATACATAGAGACATGTATATCTCGGGAGACAGAATCGTTATACTCGTTGTTAAGCATTTTTAGCGTTCGAGAAATGAAAAAGAAAGTTGATATATAAATATACATACGTGTTAACTGGCGTTGACTAGCCCGTTTCTTTGATTTTCTCTCTCGCATCGTTTCCACCCCGCGGAACATCTACCCCATCTTTTCCATCTGACGATCGATAATTGTTTTTACCGTACGACGAACCACAAATCGAATTGATTTTTAACCCTTCGCGGTCCCGTTGTCGATTTACTACGTAAACATATATACCATATTAATCATTAAAGTATTAACGTGTAAGTAATAAACAAGGAGAAAATATAAATAAATATATTTTGTTTTTAATCGCGGATCCGGAAGAATCGAATGTAATCTGGACCCCAAAGGGTTAGAACGCAAGACAATGGGTTAATTGACTCCCTCGGTCGAAGATGCGTGTCATCACGTGATTTTGTGTGAAATTTATCTCTGTGTAGTACGCGCTTGATTTTCCGAACAACAGTTTTTTATTACGTTTTTATTACTGCTTTGGTGATGCTATACTAGATAATATGTTGTAATGCCAGAATATCGTGTTCTTGTTTTGAATAACAACAACAACAACAAAATAGTACAACAATATATTATTGAGAATCTGAACTTCGATGATTTTTTGTGCTTTTCCCCTAATTTCGCACGCCAAGATTTCAATATGGTTTTGCGACCGACGCATCTTGTGCGGCGAGAGGTAGTGATTTTGATTAATTTGATCGGATGTACAGCATGTTGGACTATCGATAAAAATGATTCTTTTGCGGTAATATTATTACCGTATTATATTATTATATATTATATAATATTATTACCTCTATTTTTTGAAATTTGATTCTTTTGTCCGTGCGATTTACCTTTAGAATTAGTTAGACGATAACGCGATATTTGAGGATTTACGACTATTCTAGAATAATACTTTTGTTCATTAGTACTTTGCTTCATTTGATAGAATTTTATAACTATGACATGGTTTTCGAGTATCCTAAAGTATTAAATTAAAAATCTGTTGCAAGCAGTGAATTTTTGTCAACAGAATTTCTGAAAAATTCAAACGTGAAAATTGTTGCTCAGTCCAGCACGCTTTACGATTCCATAAACTTCTTCTGGCTTCATCGAGTCTCATACTCATAGGGATTTTGCCAAAACGATCAAATTTCAATCACCTAACGGGTCAATTTCGCGAAACTTTATCCAGTTCTTTGAATAAATACAAACGCAAGACGAGTGGCTCGATCAAGATCGATTGGTCCGGGATCGAGTCAGCTCGGTCTCGCGTAGATCTACGTTTTGCGTTTAACGATCTCACTGTCCGTCCCTGACAATCGTTTATAGTAAATAGAAAATTATCGCGTGCTGCGTCGTCCAAGCATCCCCGTCATCATTGTTATTCATATCTCAGAAACGGACCTGCATTCTTAGAAGAATTGCTCCGATTAAATGTTTAATAATGTGAAAAGGGAGAAGTTTAGTTATGATCCTATGTGACGTTTGTACGAGTTTTGTGAGCTTGATGTCACCAATACGACGCAAAATGATAGTTTTTCATGAAAAACCTCTTTATTTAAGCATATATTGTAATAAATAGACTGCGGATCTTTATTCATTTATGGTACATGCAAGTTTGTAAAATTCAAGAATACATATGCATACTGATGAAAATTAAAAACTACTGAAAAAATATTCTATATTCAGCATAAAGAACTAATTACTCAAAATGTGATTTTTTCCTTCTTTAGATAGTTAGAAAATGATTAGTGAAAATATGAATTTACATAAAGATCCGCAGTTTAATAATAAAAATCGTGCGATGTATGAATAAATTGGATTTCGTGATTGTCACAAATAGTGTGCGGATTTTATGCACTTATAGCAAAAGTTATAGTTATAATTCGAGTGTTGATTTTATGCATTTTTGACAAGAATGAGCGAAAATATTGTTTATGAAGAAAAAAGAAAATTTCTATTTGACTCCTGTTTCTTACAATTGATGCAGACAAATTTTATTTTGCATAAAGATCCGCAGTCTAGTTATAACTGGAATAAGGATGTTCATATTTTTGCATAAATGTGGTTTAGTTATTAAATAATATACAGGCTGAGTTATCCAATATTTAAACATAAAATATCGCTATCGTTTTTCAGTTTCAAAATCTCATGTTTTCCAAATTTCGAGCCATTCGCGTTATTCCAAATAGGATGACATTACCTTAATTAATAAAACGTAAAATTACTAATTAAGTTTCAATACTCGCAACCATCATTTTGAGCACATTCTTGAACATTCCATTTTTATACGTCTAATAATACGAAATAACGAAACATTTCCTACGTAATAATCTCTGGGAGTCATGTGAAGCACGCATTAGACAGGCTCGTACTGGTCACAGTGTTGCACTAATAAAAACACGTCATCCTATTTAAAACACCAGAATGATCTCGAAGTACCGGAAAATATGACTACAAGGAAAAAGTCTTCATTTCAATAATTGCACTTCTGAAGCAAGCAATATTTGTCTCGTAGATATTTTCCCGTGTCAATAAAACCAACGAAGATATGTTAATGTTCAATGTTAGATGGCTCATCCTGTGCATCGGTCGCGTTTAGTGCTCGATGGTTCTGGTGTTAAAGGGAAAAAAATGGTTCGTGCAACTGTCACAGTTATCAGAACATACTGTTCCTACAGAATGCAGGTCATTAGAAAGCTTAACAAGAGTTCTAGCAGTTTGGGCAACAAGGTATTGTTGTAAGTATTGTTGTAAGTATTGTCGAGAGGGCCCGTGTGACCTGACGAGGGAAATGTTAGTTGTTGCAGTGTGAGTGATTGTAGAAGGGTCAAAGATTGTGACAATATGTAAATGCGTGATTAGCCGAGCGATGCCTAAGACTCTGTCGAGTTTTAAAGTCTTGAGGTAGTCGAAACGTAAGCTGTGCTTTATCAAATATCTCAAGTTAGAATACATTGACCCCTACGGGTCAACCGGAAAGTTTACTTTTCCGAGATAAAAGTATCGCGTAGAAGTGAGAAGCGTTTTCAGAAAGGAAAACAGAATTCGGTCGGAGAAGCTTGGAAAATGTAGCTGAATTAATCTGTAAAATAATTGTATGACTAGATTGTGAATGTGATGTATTCATGAAAGAAACAAGTAGGGAAAGGACTGTAATATTACTTTAACGTATTTAAATTATTAGGACGAGGAATACGTTTTCATTTAACTCCTTTTTGTTGTTATCGAGATAAAGAACTTTTATACGGACGAAGATCGGCAGTTTATTAGTAACTGAAGAGGAGGAACTCTATTTGCAAATTACGTTTAGTTCTTCTATTGAATTTACAGTGTAATATTTCATTCGTATATATCATAATTATGTCTATAATTAATTATATTACATTTGTAGTTGTAATTTGCAAATTACGTACAATCCTTCTGCTTAATAATTATTGTATTTTATTGTTATATGCTATATTTATTTCTATCGTTCCTGCGATATTGTATTCGAAATAAAATGATAGATAGAAGATCTATTAATTTACAATTCTATAATATATAGAAGAGAATTGTATACAAAATTTAGAAACTAACGTTATACAAAGAATAAAAATTTCAACATCCCTTTATACGCTTATATTGACCCAAAGGGTCAACTGAAACAAGCTTGAGAATCCTAAGAAATATGGGGCTAAAACGTTATAATTCTATGATATTAATCGCATCCTCATTTTTTTCAAGGATGCCGTATCCGCTCTTTCAAACGTATATTTCAACTGAAAATCACAGCAGGGTGAAAATAATTACCAAAGAGGAAAACCACGCAAAACGTGTCAAAGATCAAAAGCTAAATACTAATTCAAATTAAGATGAATGAATAAAATGTAGGAAAAATTTAGGAGGCTAACAGAAAAGCGAGAATAAATGGAATATAACAAAGCAACAGGTTGAAAAACCTTATATCTTTCGATATAATTACCGATTGTGCCAATCTCATAGTAGCGCGTACCAAAATTGCTACACCAAATGGTCAGATAAGTGGAATCATTTTTGATGAAAGATATAGTACACGAAAATCTGTAATAATCGTTGGGAAAGCGACTGGTTTAGAAGATACGAAGTACCGGAAAGATGTACCTCCCGCGAGCGTCATTTGCAGAGGTAAACAAATCGAGATGGCGTCTCGAATTGTTGATCTCCGAATGGACGTCGAGTAACGACGGCAAAAGTTCTCTAAAACCGGTTTATTGACTATGCAAAGACTTTAAAACGGACAGCCGAAGGTTAGCTTCACGCTTAGAAGACTAATCTATCGCTTCGAAAATTTAAGTCGAGCGTTGTTCGTTCGGTTTCTCTGGCTTCCAGGGAAACGAACGCTGACGCGACAGAAGAAGAGAAGCTTGTTATGTAATCCGTGTGGCGGTAGTATTTCGGTCGGTGCCGTTTAACTTTAGGAAGCGACGTTTACTTTCCGAACTTTTCTCGTCGTGACACGGCCCTGAACCACCCCATATCCCGGTCATGGGAATCTCAATTTCGATTCCGATCATGGTTCGTTAATGAATCATTGCGCAATAATAGCGGCAGAACGATGATTTCGTTCGATGCGTAAACTGGTGCCGTCGCATAATACGAAATCATTGTTCGAGCCATTGTTCACTGACATTCTCTATCCGAATTCAACCCGGGCCAATGAAATCATTCGGACGCGAGCTATCGGTTAATAATTTACTACGAAATTACTTTGATCGTATCACGATATATGAGGAATTGTAAGAGGCGTTTTGTAACATGAACAAAAGTCCGGGTCAATCGTACACTATTTGATGTTGACGCGTTTCATTGATATTGAAAACGGGGAAAAGTGAACTTTGTGTCGAATGCGAAACGCGATGTGAATTTTATAAGAAGAGTATATTGTCGATCGAAAGCAAATGATAAATATTTTGAAGTTATTGAATATAAATTGATAAATGTTTATGCTAAAGACGAACGGAAGCCGCCGGAAATGGCGGGAACTATTGTTAATCGTTTAAGCGCGGTGTTTCTACAACAATCATGCATGTTTTCTTTAATCTTTCTTCGAGTGTCGTTGGATTTAAAAAGATCGTTAAATTTGTGTTTTTATAATGCGAATGACATTTTTATAAGCGTCGAATGTTGATACGACTGCGGACGAGACCGTAAGTTTCGGAAACTACACGTGCATTGTGTGTGTATATATACATATATATATATATGTACGTACGTATAATGATGTACCGGTTAATTATTGTAATTGTTGTCGCGATGGTATAGATTCTATTATATATAATCGAACGTATATTTTTCTCTCGGTGCCGATGCACAGCCTCTGACTGGTGCACACCTCGCCCTTTCATCTACTCCCCTCTGTTCATTTTTTATATAGATCAAGCAATAAACGTATTGGTTCAGTAACGTCGTTCTTCTCACTTTTCCCGATTAATAATCATGAATCCTCGTTTTCTAGACAGAATTCAACCAAACCCTGCCAATTGATATTATTATTCGAGAACATGACCAAATGCATAAGATAACATTGCGAGACACGTTGATATTATCCTTGCTTCGTCGGCCAACGACATATACTTCTGCAAACATTATAGATGTTCAAATATTATACATATTAAAACATTATCGTGATCGATAAAAACACTCTATCGTTTGAGTGTGATCGTGCGAGGTGCACGTAATATATGTACTACGAGCTTTGTGCAAAATAAAACTATTTTCGGTTAACAAAAACCAGAAATTATACCAATAATTGAGCACTCGTTGAAAAAGACAGGGTTTTAGTTCTCATACTGTGAAAAATTTCAGAAACATGAATCAAATAGTCGATAAGTATTGTATCAAAGGTAAGTTAAAGTATTATCTTTCTATGGTGTATCGTTATGTTGTTTAATATATTTGTTGAACGGTTCAAAAATAGTTTATGGTCCATAAAACGTAAACGATTAAAGTAAACTATAAAAATATATAATATAATATAAAAAATATATATATGATGTGTATAAATATGTAATAAGATAAAGATTCAATAACGGGGATTAAATATACTACCCAAACTTCGAGTTCTGATCTGACCGATAAATACGAATTTTATTAGCAAGTTCGATAACTGCACAACTGAACAAATCGTGAACGCATGGAAAAATGACTGGTTGAGGCAAGATCTAACGTGCTCATCGTTTATCTTATCAGTAGTGACATTTTTAGATTTGAATATTGTGGCGTAAACGTGAAAAACGAAAAAACAGTCGACTTCACGTTATTTAGTTTTCATTTTAGGCGAAACTTTTCACTTCGTTTAGAAATAATGATCAAGGTATGATCAAGGTAAATTTCAAGCTAAAACTGCACAGTCGGAACTAAAATATTTTTTGCTTTAACCTTACCGCCACGTGGAAGTTGAGAGATAATTGTAGTTAATAAAAAGACGTTAAGAGTCTACTTATTGAGAATTTATAACGACGACGTCAGCACGGAATATTTAATGGAATACTAAGAGGCAAAGGTAAACTCTGCACCTCGTTAATTGAAAAAGCAATTGCCGTGAACTGATGTATGTACAACATATGTATAGTATGATAAGTTATACGTTATGAGGTACAATATTTATACATAATATCTAACGGTATTATTTATATATCACTTAATAATATAGAATACGCACAATATGCGTTCATATATTGAACAATATTTCTTGGAATCATTTATTATGTGAGTTTGTAAATTACCTTGTAATAATTGTGATTTTTTCTCATTCACAATTTTGATTACAGAGTGGGCGATAAAATGCTTTGATTATTGTTTTCCTTAATAACAGCATTATTATTTTATCACCCCTTATTATACGACACGATATACCATATCATTAATTATAGCACACATATTAAATACCATTCAAAAGTATTTATCTATACTATTCATTATTTAACATAAACTCTGCTTATTGAGGGTTAGAAATATAAAAGTAAATTAGTTTCCCTATTATTATTATTATAACGTTTTCTTTGATCCCATCCTTTTCCACAATTCCGTATTCACCTTGATCGAACTGGTATTCCAAATATACTTCACCTCCATTATAGTTCTCTTTTATACTCCTTATAGTGGGATCCAAGTGATCGGTTATCGATCAAGTTCTTGATGCTTGTCGGCTCTACAGTAAACGTGAATTCTCGAATCGGACGTTCTGTTTCCCAAGAGTCTGCTCAGAACCTCATCATTGATTCCACCGTGTGCACGAGTACAGCCAGCTCCACTGATTTTTACCCTGCGAGGGGAATACGAATTCCCCATGATCGTTTCTGTACACAGTGAATCCCGTACCGAATGCCATGATCCGATTAGGATTTCGAAAACCGGTTTATTTGGACTTTCTGAAACTCGAAAACCGGTTCCATAAATCTGGAAATATTGGTTTGTTATTGCATTGAAATCGTCAAATTGGAATCGACTTCGACGTAAAGATTGTTCAGCAAATCTCTTCATAAGTCATGTGAATCTTTGATACACAAATGCATTTTGCTATGCTACTCTGTGTGGTACGTCATGCTGTTTGAAATTATGATTCCTGGAAACAAAGACACTATAAATTTGCTATTATAGAAAAATATAAATTTTACAATTTATAAAAATATACAAATCTACAATTTATAATATCAACAGAATTTAGTTTTCTCCTTTATTTTCCTTCGAATAGAATTTTTATTATTATATTCTGTTTATAATATTTACGCTATTATCTCGTGGCTTCACAAATATTAGGCAAACTAGAATATAGTTATTTTCATATTTTCTTTTACCTTTTATTTTCACTTTTCTTCGATGTATTCGTTTATTTATAAAGTTTATTATTTTGTTATGGTTACACAGTTTCGTATATACAAAATAATATTATTATGTCTTGTTTATTCTTTTTAAATTCGAACACTGAGTTGACTAGTCCTTTTAGTCCTAGAATTTGCTTTAGTAACATAGCTTCATTGGCACATCAATATTTATATAATATATGTATCAACAAATCGTCAATATTATTTTTCATTTAGTATATTAGAAAGTTCTTTTAAATAAGATCCGCAGGATGCAACAGAATTGCAGAGTATTCGTCATAATCATAATCACAACCTTATCAGCTCTTGTTTCATTAAGTAAACAACATTTCGAAGAATCTTTATCATTGCTGATTCGACAGTGAACGTGTGTGTGTGTGTGTGTGAATAGTGATAAGGTGAGCCAGAAGGAAGAGGTTGTTCCCCTTATACGACAGAATTTTATGTGGCTAAGTGTACATACGCGCGAGATGAGGTACACAGTGCCGTAAAAATTTAAAAAATATTTTTTATAAAAAGTATAAATTATTTAATATTTGGATGGTGTAAAACTAAAGATCAGATTCTTTTGTTTTCGGTTTTTAAATAATTTTTCCAATAATCTTATTGCTTGCCGTATATCATTTTATTATTTATTTCTTGTTTAATCTGTTTACTCTGAAATAATTGTTTAACACCTGACAAGTAATGATATCTTTCAGAGAAATCATTTGTGTAATACAAAGCGGAAGATAATTTTTTGTAACAACCTAACAAATAATCTTGAACATACTCATAATTATAATTTCTCATTTTAATTATAACATTTCAAGCGATATAATTGCTAACAAAATTTAATTGTACATGTTTCATTAAAATGAATACAAAAGACGGGAATGACAATATTAAATTTCACATTAAACTAATATTAATTTGAGAGAACTTTTTTAATGAAGATTATTAATTATGAATAATTTATATTGTACCACGCTACTGTGAAATTAATATATCTGTTAATTTGTTGGCTCCTTTGGTGTTATTAACATTTTACTACAGTGACACATTTTACTACATGCTTCATAATTCACATAAATGCATCCATACATTTCAATAACTTATTTCTAAGCACAAAACCGACACAAAATATTAGAAAATTCAAATAAATATTAACAAACGAATATCAGCCGTATAATGTATCGGCAAGTTATCTATAACCTAAACATAAACTCCAATGTTTACTTCCAATGTTTATGAACACATTGATCGACGAACCAAACGTTTTGTTTTCGATCATCGCCGTTTACACAGATGCAAAGCAATAAATCGAAATGTCAATTGACCCGACTATCCGTGACCTCTTCATGAATTATAAATTTTACAATTTTACACCGTTGTCGTCGGCTCTCGTTTCACAGCACATTTTCGAAAGACTAAAGTGACACACGTTGGATTAGAAGCGTCCGAGTTGTTCCAAGAACATCCTGCTGTCACTGTGTCCGCTTCTCAACCAGGAACAATTCAACAAACTATACCCATTAGTTCACAAACTAACTTCGCCATTTAAAAAGTTCCTTTCTGTCCTCACGTTACTCACGAATCAACTGTGGTTGATTCAGAGTTGTGACTCTGCCGGACGAATATGACACCGCAAACGGTGCAAGTAATCGCAAAATATTTTGCATAATCTAAACCGCAGCTTTCACAGTCACAATATTCTACAAAATACAATACAACCACCAACAAGATGTAAGAAAAAACATTGTCACTGTACCTCACAATTAGATCTTTGTAAATTCGTGACATGTGTAAATGTTTAATACGCAAGAAACCGTATAAATGAACAAGATGTAATAACATTTTTATTTTCTGATTGCAATTAGCCTTTCAAATGTCAGTTGACGAAGGAACTATTCTCTAATTGTAATTTTTGTAAAGTGACTGTAAAGCTTTCTCTAATGAAACAAATTACGAACCAAAATCATGCTCTACTCGCCTGATTTCGGGCCTCGCGAACCACGACCATTTATTATCAGCGACCAACAGGCTATCGTTCGACCCATCGAAGAAACTTTCTGCGGCTATTGTACGTTCACGCGCGCGCTCTTTCCTGTTTCATCCACGCGGTGCGGAGCCAGTAAGCAGCGTGTCGCCGAGAGGATCATTTCGAGATCCGTAGACTCCACACGCGTCCGGCTTGTCGGAATGATCACGGGCGATCCAAGTTAGTCCTGGCCAGTGAAGACAGTGAACTGTTACTATCGAGAAAACGTCGAGATTGTTCCACCTGAATCGTCGAATTCGGAGCGGCTTTCGGATGCGCAGCAAATGGCCAGCCATTTACGTTCGAAAGGTAAGCCTAAGCGTCGTGGAACCACGAGGATGTCACCTGAACAATGCCCAGGATTTTTTAGACAAATGTTGCTTCGTATTAGGCGGTTTTGAGGTCGAAGGTTTCGCCGAGGTGATCGCACACTTCGGTACGCACGTGGGATTTCCTGTTGCTGCTTGTCGGCGGAACCTTGTGCGTGTTCGCCGTGTACCTGTAATAGAATTTTTCAAAGTAAAGTGAGATTATGATGCAGCTTTGTACTTGACAAGCCCTTCATCATTTTTGCGCGAGGAGCCGTTGTTTATTTGTTATTTGTACGTCGATGTTGTCCATCATACGTACTTTCCACTGTTTTGGATACTGCAAAATTTTGTGTAGTAATATATAATAATGCATAATTTTTAATTATTAAAATATATTTTTAAAAATATTAAAATACTTATTATATATAATTTTTATATAATAAAATAATAGGTAAATTCTGTCGCTCTCTCTCTCTTGTTCAGAATTCTTCTGATAAACCTTGCTGTTCGTATCGCTCGTCACGAAGCTTGCTTATCCCTTAATCTAAACACGTTGACATGTGTGTGGGACCGAACTATTTTTCCAGATTTGAAAACGATAGTTTTGCGCTTTTGTACTTCTGATTTGATAAATGCTGGAAGACTATTCCGTATCATTTATCTAAACTTTTCAATAGCTATTTCATTCGATAAATTATTTTAGGGGATTTTTGGAGTGTTCGTGGAAGTTTTTGTCGAAGCGTTAATAAAGTTATGTCGAATTGTAGCATTGTAAATTTAACGTCTAAAAAAGTTTACTTTTCCATGAGAATAATACTTGTTAAAAATGTGAGATTCTGAATGAAACACCCAGTGATTTAATTCAAATATAAAATGAGAACCACGGGATGGTCGTTTGTGACAATATTTTCGTGCAATGTATGAGGATTAATGGATGATTTGATGTTTTGATGAGAATGACGAAGTGTCGTAACAAGAAGTAGCCCATGTGAGAACTGCGCGACTTTCCTTTTGTTCTCCTCCGGGATTGTGCTCCGTCTACGTATCAAGGGAACATACCGTGTCCTATCTTTCGAAGTACAGTGTATGCAAATCAGCGTTTGCATTTCAATCATTGGATTCTGCACATTTTATCGTAGAATGATTCAGTTATGAATCAGTTTGCACAAACGAAAATTGAGGAATTGCGATAATATTTGTGAGACTTCATAATTTTTTTGTGCAATTTGAATTTCAATGTGATTAGGTTCGTGTCATTTTAAATCAATATATGATACAGAATGCAGCGGATCAAACGATGTGTTAGCCATAACAGTAAACGCCATCATTGTGATAAAAAAAACTTCATTTCCGGTATCAATAAATTTAACTGTCGTTCGATATCTTATCGATGTATTATCGATCTAGTTGAATGAAATGATACTGAAATAAATTAATAATTGTTACATAGATTTTCTGTTTAATAAACTTTCGTTTAAGCACACAGAGCCTCGCCCCTAACCATTATCATATTACATTTTAGTTTGACAAAATGTCGTTTATTGATAATGCCAGATTTCAAACGAATGCATCAAGTTGCAACATAATCGTACAGAAATACTATAATATTTACCAACTGGATTCGATATACCGTTACTGAAACATCGGGACAAATTATACTTAGGCAGTTAGATTAAACGATAAATAAGCTTCATAGCAAACAGTAAGGTTTATTAAAAAAAATTATTTGTAAAACACAAAACAAAAAATCTTGGCATCAACCTACAAAACAATTATACAATACTTCGCATTGAAGATGGAAGGATATTCGCCTAATTTTAAGTTATTCGGTGGAGACGTCAGAGAAATTTGACAACATTGTTATTTATTATCTCCAATTTTTTAGAGCTATTTAAAAAAGAAAGACATTTTTATTCGACTCCTATGTCTAACAACTAACGCTGGACATTTCTATGTTGCATAAAGATTCTAATAACGACAAAACCTTGAAGCAACACAAGCTTCCACCGTTACATAACGCTTTCAATGATTTCTTTGTTTTCGAATGCATGAAGGAAATGAAAATAATCGAAGGTGATAGTTTGACCCGGTTGGTTGCGCATTTAACACCGGACCTGGAAGAAACAAGGGTACGAAGGAAATAATTATGCTAGAGGGGAACGCTATTAACGAACGATGGTGACTTATTTTAAACGGCGCGCGTTAGGCTATTTCTTTTCGCAGGCTTGCCTGCTAAAAATAATGCGGTTGCATTGTTCTAAGTGCACATCGACGCGACAAATTAACGTTTTGATCAGGCAGTGCTCATCGTCAAATGAATATTAGGCAATTTGAAATTGCCGCTCCATATCCGCTGTGCCAACATTAACTGCTTTGGCGGGAAATGTCGTACGAGGCGATCTCTTTGTCGGATTCACGCGTGAAATTTCATTGAATGGCAAGTTAAAGAGAACAAGAGGTCAATGACCTTCTAACGCGGAACGTTCTACCTCGAGGCACGAGGTACTTTCGTCTATACTATTTTGTTCCCCCACCGACGTCGATATTCCGTGAACGTCTGCTCAAATTTTTACCGAATGCCTCTGATGCTATCAATGTGATCGAGTGAGTTAGAATTATAATGGCGTAAGCCTCATTTCGATTTATATCGTAAAATATAATCGATACATGACAGAGTGTTAAAGAGACAAGTGAAATCAATTATAAAGTTATTACAAATTAACTTAACTCTAAATTAACTTAACAATAAATTTCATGAGTAAACAATACACATCCTAGTAAACAATAACACTGCTTGTTTCTCATTCACTTGTTTTCGTTTTTCTACGATCGTTGGAGGATCTGTTGTCACTACTTACCGATGTTCGACAATTCGTTAGTTTGAAGAATTGCTGTTAACAATTCCGTTGCAAATGTGAAAATAAGAAAAATAGGAATAAATTATTTAGTCTCCGTGGAAATGTGATATGATTTTCTTGATAGAATGTATACTTTAAATAATAAACAGTAGCATTTTATTTTAATATTTTAACAGCCAAAAATTTTCATAGCTAAATGGGAATAAAATATGAGAATAAATGTATCTGCTGTCGTTTTAATTCGGTGCAAAGTTTATTGAAGAATCAAACATGATGCTAATCAGCAATTCAAATGAAAACTTCCATGTAAGTTAAAATATTTCCTGCGAAAAATACCGATGTTCTAGCAATAGGTGACGTATGTAATTTACGTATATGATGAATAATTTCCAATAAGCAGATGTTAACAGCGGAATTTCTCTCACTAGATATTGTAAAATTATCCAGTGGACACTGCATTATAGATTTTGTCACTTTCGTAGCGACTGAATATTGAATGACACTTAGACATTGATGTCACCATGTTCAGCCGTTTCCTCTAAATGAAAGCTTCGTATCACTGGCAAGTTTTGTTCTTTTATTTCATTTAATCTTAATTTACTATTACTTTCTTTCGATTTTATCCTGGCATAATTCATACAGTAGTAACAATTATAGTAGTCCGAACAAACACGCGTCTATGTCGGGTCTATCGCAATGTGCCGGTATGGACAATTTAAACAATATGGCGTAAAAACAGCGATTATTCCAAACAAATGAACCAGTCCATTTTTACGACACTGACGTCACATCTGCAAAGAAGGAACAAAAATTTGTCTTGAAGCAATTCTGCAAAGCAGTTATTCTTCAAAGTCATTCTTTACTCAAGAAGTATTTATGACAAACGTTATTTCTTTGGTACGTTTACTGTTAAACTTAATTTCTTAGAACGTTCGACTTTAACGTTCTTCTACGTCGCAGTTATTAAATGTCAATGTGTTTAATGTGGATTAGTATGAAAATTAACGTTACAACTACCAACGAAATTGAAATGGCTCATTTTAAATGTTTTCTCTTACAGTTGTCAAAATTGCATTGACACTTTTTTTATCAAATTACTAAAATCTGGCTTAATTTTAATAGACAGTTCTATATTTTAATTTAGACATCTAATGTACCACACAATTTTTTTTATAAAATACACTCTGGCCTGTAATATTTCTTTAATAATTTGATGGATATAGATTATTATTAGAAGTATATTCTCGGTGTATTTCCGCTACTATTCAAGTTATAGCAATTTGTATCCTGACGCAATGAGACACTTTTTTAAAAGTTTTGACGCAATCAGCTTTATGATGCGGATGACTGGAATTTGCTATTTTCGGGATATTGCGATCTAGCGATATTTTCAGTTGTCGTCAAGTTAATGTTAGATTTTGAGTCTCGGAAATTTATTCACTACTACACATCCGCAGGAATTAGATGCACGTTCAGGTCCTCGCTTTCAATTTTTTCCTCATTTTAAATTCTACAAATATTTGTATTACTGCGTCTTTCTGTTTGGTACCAAAAAGATTTGCAAATTATGATAAGGTCTGCAAATTAAAAAGTAAATGAAAAACCATATTTAATGAAACTAGTTTGTTTTATTAATTTGAATCGCAATAACTATACCACGAATCATTATGCGAAATAAAATTCTTCTGCACAAATTTTGGAGAATCGAAGTTATATAAAAACTTCTTTGTTTAATAATTTCAATAAATTGGAAACATTATGTCAATATTGTTAAGTTTGTTTATTGCTCTTTCTACTACTTTAAATCTCACCTACTCAGCTTCTCCTCGAAAGTGCATAAAATCCGCAGTTCAGTAATGAAGTATACTCAGTGGGCTTAGTTGTCCGGGAGAAAATACCGTCTTAGATGCACTTTCAAATACTAATAATGTCAGATAGTGAATAATTCAATATTCCGAAAAATGTATACAAATTAAAACACAAAATAATCTGCTCAGCAGCGCCAGTACGTTAACGATAGAATTTTTACATCGCTTTTAAGAGATGTAAAAAAGACAAGATATTTTAAGTACATGATTACCACTTCAATGTTTACTTTTCACAATCCACTGTATCCTACCATCGTGAAACATCATACCGGTTGTTAATAATAACTTTGAAGTGTTCACACATATATTTATTAATATCCATGAAGGAGTGAAGAGTCATGATTAAATCGCGTAACTTGATACAAAATAAAAGTACTCTTTAAATCCTCAAGTTTCGTCTGGAAAAGAGTTTTGTCTAAAACTTTTAAATTTTAAATAATGCCACAAACTAATGGTTCTACATTTTATTCGAATGTAACAAACTTTCTGCTCAAACAAATATAAGTTGGTATATTCCACAGTCCGTTATTTTAAAAATTCATACTTTTCTGTCGTTTATTAATTTAAAATTTGTATTCAAATGGAACATATTTCTTGCTCAACCAAGTATTTCTTCGTACTGTTTTTCTTTCTCTGGTTAACAACAAAACCGGTTTGAATGTATAATTATCGCAGTTGATCCTCTTAAGACCTTCGTGTAACTTATGCATATGTAATGTGTGTAACGGACGTCGTAAATTGTCAACAGGTGCTCGAGTAATGATGCTCCGATGATATCTTGACCGAAGAGAAGATAGAATCGGATACAATGATGGAGATACTCGGTGTGAGGTTCGCACCCTTAAACGTGCCGCTGAAACGAAGATTGGAAACCCTTTCTGCGGCGTTGCTGATCATTGTATTAGGTTTCGGGGATCTTATTGGCTACGTTCTCACCGCTTACCTGCTCTTCTACACCGAAACTGTACGCTATTTCATCTTATTTTACTTCATTTGGATGTACTATGACTGGGACACGTGCAATAAGGGCGGCCGAGCGTGAGTACCATTCAAATATCATCTGGCCTAATCTGCTGAAGTATTAACCCTCTGATGGTAAAGCTTAAGTCCATTTTGACCCAGAAGAAAATACGTTCCATCTAAACTTTTTAGTCTAGATTAAAGTTCTTATTAAAGATTAATTTTGATTTTACAAAAACAGATTTAAAAGTAGGTAAAACAATTTTTCCATAAGGATTTCAAATGAAAAACCAGCATTTGTAGAGTAATTGTTTTCAATGTTATTGAACATTTCACAAAATATCGTTAGATACAATACACACCTTAAAATAAGTTCTGTTAAAGTCTCGTGCAAAAATATTAATTTTTGCAAAAACAGTCGTCGATGAAGTAAAGATCCACCAACAATATTCCAAAATGGTTCAACAGCATTTGAAAAATTAATGTTACATCCAGCTATTACAATATTATGTTCATTGATCCATTCATATAAGAACGCTTAACGAATTCCACGCGCGTTGCTTGGTACTAAAATGAGTTCAACTTAAAAGTCATAACTTAAAAGTTATAATATGTACACTTGCAAGTATAATAGTAGTTCTCGATGTTATAAATAACATTACCATTATGAAGTCAAACATTTCATTTGTATATACAATAACGTGACCGATACATGCATCGCGGCATTACTACTCTCAAGAAAACAATGAACTAATATCGAGGTGACATTTATTCATACAAATATACATATAACATACATACATCATACAAATACAAATACGCAAAGATATTATTCAGAGCAGGACGGGGAAAAACTGTTCCAGTTAGAAACTGTAGACTGTAAGGAAACATTGCGAGAATAAACGGCATTCTGCAAGTTATTCTATAGAATCGCCTTTCAAATATAAGTACACTTGAATTATCGAATCGATGGATTGATCAAAAAACCCCTATCTATAGCCATGTCAAGCACCTGATGTAATGACGCATTTTAATCCATTGTTGATAGAAATTTTTTTAACATATTAAACGTAATTTCCTAAAACAATTTGATCACACGTCGAATTCTTAAATACTGGCAAAAGTAGTTTTTTTTTGTTATTCCTACAATTAGTCCATTAGCCGTATATTTAGAAAACATTCCTCCTGCCTAAAAATTTGTCCGTGGATCTCAAATCAAGTAAATATCAAGTCTAAATATACGGAACCTCCTTGTCAAAGGATTAAAAATCTTTCAATCGATACACCACTGCCGTCGACCTTGACATTTTAATACAGTTTCTCAATGCCAACAGAATTTTCCAATGAACTAAATATCGGGTTGACCCACAACTTGGTACGGGCGCCTGCTAGGTTTCCACTTGATCGCTGTCATTAGTGAAAACAGCTGGCTTTCATAAGTCAGCTGTGTAATCCTTCATGTAATAATTACGTACGTTTTATAATTTTTGCAAGAATTGGGCAGAAGATGGTAAAAAGAAATCATCAAATGAAATGACGAGTACGATATTATTGAATAATTTGTTCTCGTTAAAAATAAATTATATTTTATTCAACGTGGTTTAATCTATTATACGAGGTGGGCCATTTTTCGATTTCTTTTTAGTATTGCCGTTCAGTATTTCTCAAAGTTTTCTGCTTTATTGAAAAGAACAAATTAAAGAGTAAACGAAAGAATAAAGGGTCTCTTTAATGAAACATTAAACTTCGGAAAATATTAAATCGGTTCTTTTCGTAGCAACTTTGAAAAGAAACCAACAGATGGCCCACCCTATATTGAAGTAAAACATTCATGAAAAAAATAAATGTTACGATTTCTTTGTCTTAGCGCTCGCTGGACGACCTGGATCAGGAATTGCGCGTGGATGCAATACATTTGCAACTATTTCCCAGTGAAGTTGGTGAAAACAACTGATTTGGATCCAGAGAAGAATTATTTATTCTGTAGCTTTCCCCATGGGATCCTGTCGACCGGAATCTTTGGCGCTTTTGGATCCGACATCCTCGGATGCAAACAACTATTTCCAGGATTGGACGTCCGGGTGGTTGTCCTCGATCAGCATTTCCAGATTCCCCTTTTCCGCGAATACGTTTCCGCGACTGGTAAGTACTAATTAGTTAGCAAAAATTATTCTTTTCGAACGACCTTCTAAATGACAAAAATGTTTATTCAAACCGTCTGAAAACTCAGGTGGCGTAAGCAGTACCGCGAAAAGCCTGAACTACCTGGCATCGACAAAGCCTGAAAAACCGTACACGGGAAGAGCCACAATCCTGATTGTCGGAGGGGCATCGGAATCACTGGAATGTCAGCCTGGCACCTATCGTATCTTGGTGAAAAGAAGAAAGGGTTTCGTGAAGATCGCGCTAAAGAATGGGTTAGAATCATCAATTTTTATAACTATTGGTACACTTTCCTCGTTTCGTTAACAATGCTTGTATTATTATAAACCGATCAGTCAATTTTTAGATAACATAATGCTATACAGTATAGCTTTTATATAAAATTCTACGAACGATCGTCTTGTAAATCGTAGTTTTTTCAAGATCAACACATATGAAAAACAACGAACGTCAGAAAATGTCTTGAATTGAATTAATAATCTGTATAGACTATTTCTATTGTTTATAAAGAATTGAAGAAGATGAAAAATTCGTGATTTCCGAATTTTCATGTCAACGCGGTGATTGGACTACAAATCTCTCTCTCTCTCTCTCTCTCTCTCTCTCTCTCTCTCTCTCTCTCTCTCTTTAGGCAATTCTTAATTCGGTATAGATCACTCAGTAAAAAGCAGAACGAGGAACAAATTCGATTTGTCAGCTAAAAGATTCCTCAAAGTGAAAATAGAACAAAAATGTCATTAAGGTTCATTAATATTGTACACATGTTTTCTTGCATTTCGATGCAAGGTTCGCAGTCTAATAGATGAACAATCTGGGATTTTTAAGTGACTCATCGATTTCCTGTTCGCAGAATTCCTCTGGTACCTGTGTTCTCTTTTGGCGAGACGGACATATATGATCAGGTGTACGGCACCGAAGGCTCGACCTTGAAGAAGGTGCAACATTTCATTCGTAAGAAGATCGGGATCGCACCGATCATCTTGAGGGGTCGAGGATTCTTTCAGTACTCGTTTGGGATCATTGCTCAACGAAGACCCATCACCGTCGTTGGTAAATAAGCTCATTTAACGTCCGATAAGACAAACATGTGCTTTTCTCTTTTAAATTCCAAGTATCGCACAACAACTCTGTAGTAGCACTTTTAGATGCAATTAACGTGTATATTGTTAACACAATCATGCGACGACAAAATTTGAATAGAACAATGAAGATTATTGAAATGAGAAACGCTAGAAATACCAAATTTTCCTGACATTCTCCTACTTTCTTTTTCCAGTTGGCAGTCCCATAGAGCTACCAAAAATTCCTGAACCAACAACGGAGCAGATCGACGAGTATCACGAAATATTCATCAAACGTCTGGTTGAACTTTTCGAGAGCAACAAGCACAAATACGTGGAGAATCCGGAATCAGTGACCCTCGAGCTGTTGTAATACGTATCGTTTTATCCGAATGAACGACAGCGGACGTCCGAGATCCACGAGATCGTTAAAAACTTGAAAGACCTTCTTGTCACGTATCTGGTGGTTGTATAAAAAAGTGGCGCGAGTGATAACAACCGTACTTTCCTGGAACTCATTTTTTTCTTAGTGAATTTTCCTAAGGTATTTTAATAGAAAATATTGAAATTAATAGCGTTAAGATGTTGAATAGTAATTACATTTTAATTGAATTGTTAAAGAGTTTTGTTCGATGTGAGGGCCTGAAACAAGACTTGCTCGAACGCAGTCATAAATCTTGTTGGAGCTTGGAGACGTTATGCATTTAAACAAAGAAAAGACAGAGGAAATCGAGTCGGTTAGATCGAAAAATGTTTTTTNTTTAGGCAATTCTTAATTCGGTATAGATCACTCAGTAAAAAGCAGAACGAGGAACAAATTCGATTTGTCAGCTAAAAGATTCCTCAAAGTGAAAATAGAACAAAAATGTCATTAAGGTTCATTAATATTGTACACATGTTTTCTTGCATTTCGATGCAAGGTTCGCAGTCTAATAGATGAACAATCTGGGATTTTTAAGTGACTCATCGATTTCCTGTTCGCAGAATTCCTCTGGTACCTGTGTTCTCTTTTGGCGAGACGGACATATATGATCAGGTGTACGGCACCGAAGGCTCGACCTTGAAGAAGGTGCAACATTTCATTCGTAAGAAGATCGGGATCGCACCGATCATCTTGAGGGGTCGAGGATTCTTTCAGTACTCGTTTGGGATCATTGCTCAACGAAGACCCATCACCGTCGTTGGTAAATAAGCTCATTTAACGTCCGATAAGACAAACATGTGCTTTTCTCTTTTAAATTCCAAGTATCGCACAACAACTCTGTAGTAGCACTTTTAGATGCAATTAACGTGTATATTGTTAACACAATCATGCGACGACAAAATTTGAATAGAACAATGAAGATTATTGAAATGAGAAACGCTAGAAATACCAAATTTTCCTGACATTCTCCTACTTTCTTTTTCCAGTTGGCAGTCCCATAGAGCTACCAAAAATTCCTGAACCAACAACGGAGCAGATCGACGAGTATCACGAAATATTCATCAAACGTCTGGTTGAACTTTTCGAGAGCAACAAGCACAAATACGTGGAGAATCCGGAATCAGTGACCCTCGAGCTGTTGTAATACGTATCGTTTTATCCGAATGAACGACAGCGGACGTCCGAGATCCACGAGATCGTTAAAAACTTGAAAGACCTTCTTGTCACGTATCTGGTGGTTGTATAAAAAAGTGGCGCGAGTGATAACAACCGTACTTTCCTGGAACTCATTTTTTTCTTAGTGAATTTTCCTAAGGTATTTTAATAGAAAATATTGAAATTAATAGCGTTAAGATGTTGAATAGTAATTACATTTTAATTGAATTGTTAAAGAGTTTTGTTCGATGTGAGGGCCTGAAACAAGACTTGCTCGAACGCAGTCATAAATCTTGTTGGAGCTTGGAGACGTTATGCATTTAAACAAAGAAAAGACAGAGGAAATCGAGTCGGTTAGATCGAAAAATGTTTTTTAATAGGATGAACGTTGTATACAGTTTTCGTTTAAAAACATGATTAAATCAGAACGCGTGTAGCGAAGTATACCTCGATGATCGGAACCAGTAATATTGCGAGAATCAAGATAAACGTGAACATAACGATCACACGTAAAATCTGCAAAAGAATACTGGTTTTATTATACATATGTTTGTTATTTCTACTTGGTTGTTTGTTTCTGTCGCGTTCTTCGTGTACCTTGTCCTGCCATTCCTTGTTCGTGATGCAATCACGAAACTTCATTCGCGAAAAGTGTACCGTACTGTACAACGGTATCCACGTGTTCGGCATTCGACGGTGGAGAAACGTGTCCAGGTATTTTCGGAAAAGAAACGACTTTCTGTTCACCAACTCCCTCATCTGCAAATTTGCTGGCATGTAACAGTATCGTTTAAAGGGAAATATCACCATGACGGTTTGAAAATCGAATTTGTTGATTTAGTTTACTCGAAAATGTATTCAACGTCATGACAGAATGGTTTGTATAAATTCTGACATTTAGCGAAATTATAGCAATGTATAGGCAGACGAATTTTATCATTTAAAAATAATTATCCTTAGTAATAAATTTACAATATTATAAGATAGAATTATAACAGATGGTCGTGAGTAGACTTCATTTATGATTATCTCGGAGCTATGTTTTTCTGCTTTCTGGCTAGCCGAGAGATAATATTTCTATTATTACACATTCGATTTTCATGAAATTTCGAAATGCTACATATTCTGGGAGATAAAGTGTCGAAACAATCGAATTACTCCGTCATATTGTACGATACAGACCCAAAAAAATTGAGACATAAAGTTGCAAGTTACATTTTGACTTCACAAAAAAATTAGATTCTTTTATAACTAATATTATCTCTGTGGAAATAATTCGAAAGCTCTACTCATTTTCTTCAAGGTAGTCCCACCTGGATTGAGTAGATAGTGAAACTCAAGCATTGGAAGCTAATACTACTCGTTAGAAATCATACAGGAAGGTCATGCATGTATCGATGTGATAATTAGGTCCAATTACAATAGTATCTGCAAACCTCAAATATCTATTGCATTATCTACATCGCATAGTAGATATTTTATTTGGTTTTTCCATTCATTATTTATATCAACCTTACACAAACTGTAACACAATTAACATTTTATTTCACTCAAATTCTAAAAAGTCTACATAAAATATAAGACAATTAACGGACTCACGAATTGTTTACGATATTCCTTAAAAAATTTTTGAAACGACATGAATATTTAGTTTTTGTTTCAGATAAAGAATCATGCATTTAAACTATCCATAGAGCACTGTACTTTTGTTCGCAATAAATTGTATAGAACAATCAATATCACGGGATGAAGACTCATATACATACACTGTAAGATTAGATCGACAATGATCACAGCAAAAACTTACCTCAAAATAATTGTACATAGCTAATTCGCATATCGCGTGAGCGTCGTCACTTCTTAATTCAGTAAACATCGGTAGAACCTTGCTAAAGTCCGAAGCATAACGATCCATTAATTCATCTAATAATAAAATATCCTCGAATCCCTGTTAATTGAACACATCATTATTACAGTAATTTTGTATATTCCACAGTGTGGGTCGATAAGAACAACCGTCTAAAATAACTCGTTTCTTATTGATTGTATTAAAAACATTTGTAATTAATTATGTAGCATTTTGGGTGACGTATCGGATAGATCAACACCTTCAAAAAGTTCGGCAAAAAGTAAGGTATACAAATATGAAATTGCATCCATCTGTTACGTCGCTCGAAATGCTACAGAATTTATTCGAAACGTTTTTAATCCAATCGATGAGAACCGTGTTATTGTAGACAGTTCTTATTTACTCACCGTGCATATTGCATTGCAATGAAATTTTCAGAGAAAAATATGCGAACCTTTTATTAGCTTTACCAATTGAGAGGTTTTTCCATATGAAAATAAAATATTTCACATACCGTTTTAATTGAAAAATATTAAAAACGAATGGAGAGATATTTTTAATCGAATAAAAGTTTCGGACAATATTTATTCTGTTGTATATTCGAGCAAATACCACTAGATGTTTCAATTTATATACAGCATTAAAAACAACTCACGGCGTTCATTCCTTGAGCATAGAAAGGCACCATAGCATGTGCAGCGTCGCCCACAAGCAGAGCAGTCTTCCCAACGTGATAAGGTTTACACTATAATCATATTCAATTACTTCAATGATATTTTATAGAAAATCTTTTAATGTAAAATCCTGGAATATTTATTTTCTAAAGTCGCTTATAAAATCTTGCGATACCTACCTTGATAGAAATCAATGTTTTGGGTTCTCTCTCGAAGTAATCTTTTACCAACTTCTGCTTGCCAATTAAACGCAGAAGATCGGGAAATTGTTTTTCATAAAAATCTAGCAGATCTTGCGGCGTCTTCAATTTGTTTAGGGTTGAGAAAGGTGCAAATATGTTTCCGGTAAAGGTACAGTCTTCATTGGGCAAGGCAATCATCATGAACTCCCCACGCGGCCAGATATGTAGATGACTGCCGCTCATCGCGAACTTTAGGATAATATTTCCTATTATATACTCCAAACTATAACTAATTCTTCCTAATTTGAAGTTATTGTGAACAAAACATTTTTAAGAATATTATACGAAAAGATAGTACGTGTTAACTGTATTTGCTTTTTTAGAATGATAGATTAAATATCAATGTCAAGATTGTGCGATAATAATAACGTATCTTCAAATTACTATTCTTTCGGCTCAAACTTAACTTTTTGAAATATTAACAAAATTATTTTAACGCATTTTAAAACAGATAGACCAAACAATAAACAAGCTTTTAAGTTTTTACGAAACAAGCAATAGAAGAAAAGGAATTCAACAATTGTTTCAGTGTTAAACTAATACTTACACGATTGTTAATGTAATATTCTACTAACTCATGTTTTTACATAATATATACAAAACATTTAGCTACGATAATGTACGAATTAATTACCATTATACTGGAAAACGTGAGGTCATCGAAGAAATATAGTATTTAAAAATAAATGTAAGTAACCAAAGTACTATTTACGTATTATATGGCACAATTATGCGCACCTTGTTATCTTTGTCAGCAGGGACGAACAGCTCAACGTAACCGTGCTCTATGTACGTCTGATTACAATTGAACAGTGGTCTCTTCATCATCATTTTTCTGACTGTCGAGTACGCGCCATCTGCTCCTATTATTAGGTCCGCTTCTACTTCTTCTATTATTTCGTTTTTTGTGCTAAAATGTACAGTAACCGTAATACCATTGCAAGATGTGCTATTAATTTTAACGAAAGTGTTCTTACTCGTAGATCTTTATTATTCCATTGTCGAGATCGGCGTCTATCAGTTTCTTGTTAAAAAGGAGACACACTTCGGAATACTTTTCGGCGGCTGTTTCAGAAATTACATAATTAAGGGAAGACCAAGAACACAATTATCACGACGCTATCATTTAATAATAAGGATGCGTTTATTAATCCTCATACGTCAGCGGAAATCGAAGCGGAAGATCCTAAGATGATACTTTAGCTTGCACTTTAAAATCTGAATTAATAAATTGTATTTTATCGTATTTTTTTATATAGCATACTTTGTGGCACACTTTTCTTTACCTTTTAATATACTTGTAGTTGTAAAATAAATCACAAGGCGAGGGGTTAATGTTACATTGATTTCTGTCACGTAGAATTCGAACTATATTATAGAAATTTTCCATTTTTCAATAGACATCTCTAGGAAAGCTTTCGAACTCCCCTGAGTACGGCGTGGAAAACAAATCGAGTGTCGCAGCAAGTATAATGCGTGCCGAGGCGCACGCATCGAATGCACAAAGATCGTAAGATGTACGGAGCGGCAGTGACAAGAAACGTGACACGCTCGAATTCTTGTGGCTTCATGCGCCACCGCGTCATCGGATACGCGGCCATGTTTTTTTTTCATGTGAAAAGCATCTCGTGTTCGTTCATGTACTTTTAATGCAAGATACAGCAAACGGATCAAAATAACCTGTTGCAAAATCTCGACGGTAATCGATACCGATCGCGGGAGAATTTTTTAGGGGATGTCGATGCTGCAAGTAGTACAACTCAACGAGTCAGAGCTGGATACATTTAAAAGAAGTGCCGGTAATAATGATTGAAGTACTTTTGTTGCAGTAAAATGATATTTTCAGATTTTCTTGCGACTTAAATTGAAAATAATTATTTCAAATTAATTAATGTTAACACGGTATTGCAAATAATCCTTAAAAATATTTTTACTTGTTATTTAGAAAAATAACTGTTGTTGTTAATATACTATTAATATTATATATTAATATTATATATAATTAATATTATATATTAATATTATATATAATTAATATTATAGTATTAATATTGTATATAATTAATATTATAGTATTAATATACTATTAATATTATTTTAAGCTGCACTGCAATAACTAGAGGATTATAAAATGAAACAATTCTAATGAATAATCTGTATGTATATAATATATAATATGTGGTATATCTGTACGATTATGTCATGAAAGTGTGAAAAGAAAATAGGTGACAACCGCGAAAGAATATTTTATGCAATTATTTTCAGATGAAGTTGCAAGGGTTAACGATCATGTCACGTCATTGGTTTTAAGGTGTCGTGTCATCAACTCTAGGGAACTTTCATATACTTGATATGAATTTTTATGATTTATTATATTTCCCATGAAAGAGATATGAAAAAAACAAATAATTATTTCGCGTCATTGTGACAACATTTCAGACAATGAACTATTTATGATAACCGTGTTTATACTCTTCAATGCCATGAACGTAATTGACACTTCAAGCTCACAGAAAGGTTTGAGATTCCTTTCTTTAGCAAAACAAATTAACTATAAAATGAATATGTAAACATTCCGTAAACCATTAACACGAGAAATTTTAAACAATAATATATCGAGAAATAAACGAGATTTAAATATAATGATTATTATTAATAAAATATGCACACAGTTCTGCTGAAATTGACTTCAAGAGAAAATTATAAATATTTGCTAGAATGTACGCATTCAGCCTATGAAACAGATTCTTTTATATATTGTTAATAATAATTTAACTATATTATCTGCGACTATTTAGTTTTGCACACTATATTATCAAAAAAACTATCAATTAGAGTTTAGTCATGTGAAAACTTTTCAGTGGGTTTCATCTAAAACTGATTGTGAAGTAGGAATAGAGTCTATATTACAAATCTCAGATAATATGCATATATGTACATTACAAACAAATTATCATTTGAAATGGTCTTACTTACCATTTAATAGGACCACGTTTAGATATCGTCTGCTCACGGAATAAATGCACTGCAAAACGGAAATATATCTTGACCATTAAATTAGAATCAAATGAAAAGATTTCACTTTTCTAGCTGAAGTTAGCTTTACAAATTATTACTATTAAATATACAAGATATAGTAAAATGAAAAATAGTAAAAATAGTAAAATGTGACATACGTTTTTTTTCACACTATCATAAAGGATTTCTTTCAAGGTGCCATCTTTGTTGTGAAGCATCCTTCCTTGCATGGCGATGCCATGATGATCCACTATAATCTCTTCAAGACCAACAGCTCTCAAAGCTTCGCGACCTCTGGCTGATAGAGCTAAGTCAATGCTTTGACCTCTGTAATCCTCTAGTCTGATGTCTACAAAGAAATTAATTCACTTCTTCACTGTCTAAATTACAAGCGTCAGCTGTTGCAAACAATTTATATAACTTATTTCTTCCGCAACTTAGTCGATAATTAAAAGATATCGATATAGAAAATATTGATATAAAAATTTGAACATTTATTTAAACTAATGAATATTCGTAATTTAAAGATAACGAAGTGATATTGAAATTTATTGTATTAATATTCACCTGCACGGTATTCATAGACACACACGGAGAGTCCTCGCTTTGCAAAGAAACAAGCAGCCAAAGCCCCAACCTAAAATATCGAATCTTGCTATCTAATTTGATTAATAATCTTACAGAAACAGCTGATAAGAATTTATAGTTGTTCCTGTGTACAAGTAATTATTTTTCAAAACAGTTTTCACGCACCAGACCACCCCCTACAATGGCGACTCGCGGCTTTCGATCGACAACTGTCATGTTATTCCGTTCTGCACCGAAGCCACTGACCAACTACCTGCCTTAACATGATCTACAGGCAAGTTTATATGCGGGTTGAGTCACAGGGCATTAACTCGGCAAATAGATGCATTGGTTTCGGAGATAGAACCGGATTTTTTAAGGACTGTCGTGCAAATATTTTCACGGTATGCAATTATAAACAATTGCAAGTACAATTCAGAAATTCATCGTCTGAGGATCTTTATACAAAGTGATGGAATAGAAATTAACTCTTGTACCATTTTAGTGGATTGTATACTAAATAATATACTAATAAATATCTTCGATATTCTAAACGATGCGGTAATAATATAGTAATAATAGTCACTTGTTGGTCATTCGTTTTTCTATTTTTTAATGGAACTCCTAAATATCATCGTTTCTGAGATAATTTGACTTTATTCATCCTATTACTTTCATTGTGAATATTGTAAAACATTGAAAACTAAAATTCTCTCTTAAATAAAAGATATCAAAACACATCTCACACGTACATAAATAGCTTAATCTAAGGCAATCCTAAACAGCACTATTTATTGTAAAAATCGGTATTGGTTTTATGTAGTGCTGTATTTACATAAATATTCTATTATCCGAACATTATCCAAAATTCACAGTATTTATAAAAATAAATTTCCTGCGCGTTAACAAAACGTAAACGTAACTCGTAGGCCATGGTACTTTTGAAGTGAATGTAAGCAGCTACAATATAAATACACTTAACTTTGATTGGATCCGTTTCCGACATAGTATATTACTAAAGTTGCCCTAAACTTAATAGTCCCATACAAATTATATGAGAGTATTGATCTAACAATGAATCAATTTTCAAATTCCAAAAAACTTGATATAGTCTTAACGTATGGTGAGTGCAAAGAGAATACTTTACGTACAGTGTATCCTAAAATTATTGTTCAAGCGGGAAATGAAAGATTCCTGAGGTCATTTAAGTAACTTTTTCCTTAGCGAAAATACAATCCGCGGATTCGTTTACGAGTTATTCACGAGAAACAGTGACCAATGAGAGAAGAGATTAGTTGACGCGAAGCGGTCGAACCAATAAACAGAACTGGGCTTCGGCCGCTCGTTGGCTCGGCCGCTTCGCGCCAGCCGAGCTCGCCTCTCATTGGTCAGTGTTTTTTATTAATAACTCGTAAACGAAGCTGCGGATTGTATTTTCGCTAAGGAAAAAGTTACTTCAAATGACCTCAGGAGCCCCTCATTTCCCGCTTGTGCAATAATTTTGTGACACCCTTATAGGCAGCGATATCGAAAGCGACATCAACCTTGTGGAAAAAACAAATTACAGTAAATTCTCTCCAATTGTCCCTCAGTTTGTAACAAAAATGTACAATTTAGGAAGAGGAGATACGATTATTCAAGCCTCGTGACTCGTTTTTATAGTTACCGATTGTCAACAACTACAGAAACGAGCCGCTAAGCTCAAATAATTGTATCTCCTCTTCCCAAATTATCCATTTTTTTGTACAATCTGAGCATCAATTAAAGAGAATTTGTTATACAACGAGAAATCTACTTCCAACAAGAAGTACTTGTTTCAAGAACATTGAATCAGTACATACGGATCACGTCATTGGCAGGCTTGCTCTCTCGACTATAATCTCCGTTAAATTTTTAGTTATGAGAACATTTACGGTTAATTGTCTATGAAAGTCGACGCAATCTAGGAACCTCAGAATCGGAACATAAACGCATGCAGTGCCGAGTGAGTTCGTTTATCATCAGTTATAACATAACGACACAAAGTTAAAAATACATAGTGCTATTTAAGAGAAGTCAAAGCGACCGAAGTTTTTCATTGAATAAAAAAATGTTTATCATTGCACTGTATTCCCATCGAGGTACGGAATAACTGTTGTTCGAAACTGTTTTTCGTCAGATTGACGGAAATGTCTAAAAATCCGTCGAACGTCCTCTACTTTCAGAAATAACACATAAAGCTCATCGATGTTCATCCAAGGCGTTGTACATTTTAGTAAATTGTTTTAGCAAAGTTACGTTCGACGATATTTCTAAACTAGCCAGATACAATTATGTTCGAAATGAAATGAAATCGTTAACATTTTTAAACTGTAACGCAAATGTAACGCGGATTGCAGTTGTCCATTGCCTCCAAATTTTGCACGCATCACTTTCTCATCAAGTGTCGCACTTTTAGTGGATACGACTGAAAAGCCAACAAATAAGGACCACGCTATTGTCGATGAACAGGATGACCCGATTCAAATCAATTCTAACAGCCGTTGCGCTGATAACTGTTGGATCAGCCTCGTAAACTTTGCGAACGAAGGTCCTCCGCGTCTTCCGCGTCTTCGGCAAACGATGGCGCGGGAAGCCGCCGCGGGGTTGAAGAGGACGTTCGTCTGCACAGGAACCACCCAACGATGATGATCGCGATGATGATGACGCGTGGCGTGGCCGTCGTGGTCGCGGCGCTGTCCGAAAAATCAAAAATAGCCGGTGTGCCAGTCAGTGCGGCGATGTCGACGGCGAACGACGTTTCGGCGGAACGGTTCGGCCGGTGGTGGTGGTGCTGGCGGAGACGAAGGAGGAGTACTACCTGCGGGTCAACGATGCCGACGGGATATTCGACGACGATCGTCCTTCTCGGTGTACTCGCGGTGTTATGCTCCCTTCTGGGCACCGTGGACGCAAGGACGAGTAAGGACGAGTCGCGGGGTAAAGGCCACAAGGACACGGAACCTGTCATCGAAGAAGTCAACGCCAAGCAGCTCGAGCGGCTCCTCAACGAGAAGGATTTTGTTGCCGTGTACTGGTGTAAGTGACGCTCGGAAGCTTCTCTCGATGTCCTTGGGACACTTTCACTCGCCTATCGCTTTATTAGAAGTAATTAGTATTAATAGGAAATTGGAAGATTCGAATGGTGGTAGTCGCTTAGGATCTCAGGGAACATCTCTTGAAAACACTCCTCAAGATGTAATCATCCTACTAGCTCATCCAATCCCTGCGTCTCGTATGATCGCCTGTCGCCCAATCGTTTTCACATTTTTTTATATTAATGTATTTATCACTTGAGATTTTGCCGCATTATAAATTCATGGCAACGATAGTTTTTTAATTGTTTCTTGTATTCTGTGTCATAAACGTTTCACGGTTTCCCCGAGTGTCTTTTACATAATAGTGTTACATTGTTCCATTGGTCGCCGATGAATACTTACAGGGGTGTTTACAATCGAATGGTATGGCGTACTCGTATGCGGTAGACTTTGTTTAAGAAATTTTTCTGTACCGAGAATAACGTTTTTCTTTTACTAAATGAAATAATTAGAAGCTGCGATCATCATGTAACTACGGAAGGGTGACACCTACGCACACACTATAACCGTGGTCCACGTGCTGCCCTACACGTGTTCCTTTCTCGTAAAGAACCGTCCAGAATTTCGATAGTTTTCCACCGCAAAGAAAATACTGCAAAATGAGTATTGAGATTACGTTACTGAAAATTTTCGGTTCGGTTACGCATGTTTTTTTTAGAAATTTCGTCGAATATAGAAAATCTTCTTAAAAATATAAAGTCGGATGAATAAATCGGAACGATCGCAAGGCGAATGAAAATGGACTTCCTGGTTTTCAAAACGCAGCCCAAAAATACTTCGAAAGTGACTTCAGAGAATGAGAATGAAGACCCACGCGACGTCCGACACGTGGCAAAACCTCGCTCTTATATAACACATCTGCAGTAAGTCCTTTGAGTCCTCGTTTGGCCGCCGAATACTTCGGGAACCTCTGTCACCCTCTCTGTTCTCTCCCTCTTGCATTCCTCTTGGTTCATCGACTCTAACGGATACTTCACCCCTCTGGCTATCTACCACTGTCTAAAAGAACTATGGCGACTTGAAATACTATTAACAATTCGAGTGCATCTATCGAATTTTTTCCCAATTCCATTTTCCCTTTTTGTCGACAGCTTTCAATCAGGAAGGGACTGTGACCCTAATATTTATTTCATGATCTCCTTTACCCTTCAGAAAGAGTGATAATCATTTTATCGAAACAATACCACTCAATTTTATACTGGATCGTGACTAAACAATTGAATTTAGAATTTTTTACACATTTCTCTATATTTTCATTTTAGTTTTTCATATTATTTAATATTCATCGACGATAAACGAATTGTTTAATTTTTAACTGGTAAAACACGGATTTTATGCATTTGTGACAAAAGTGAATAAAAAAGAACAGAAGATAGCGTAAACGAATTGAACGATATTATTACATTATTTTCGATGTATTGAATGATTAATTTTTCTATCGAACGAAGTTTACCCACTAATTACCGTAGAATCGATGTACTTATGTTCCGTTGCTCCGAGATTGCTCGCGCTGGCGTGGTGTGCCGTTTAAAAATACTACCACATAAACTTCGACTGTTTCGCATTCGCTTCAGAATATATATTCTTTAACTTATTCGAGGCCGCGTTACGCTTTCTTCGACGTCCGTAGAATTTTCTTGGCCCGTGACGGGCTGCTTCAACCCTCCCCCGTTCTCCTTCGGCGTCTTCTTCGTCTTCTTCTGGTTGTTCGACGTCGCCGAATTATATAACCCGTGGCTGTGCCGTAGTGGGTGTTGATGAAAGCCAGAATTGCAGAACAGGACTCGTCATTGAGATCGTTTTCTGTGCAACGGCGACGAGTGAGACGTCAATATGAGAACGGTTTAATGTACCAAGGCGAAGACGCGGGTTCACCTGTTATAAATAAATCCCCCGGCAAGAGATTGACGCTTCTGTTTCACGTTCGTGTCGCTCGAGAATCTTTCCGCGGAGCTTCCCTCGATCGGAATCGTAAAAATTGAACGATCGAGCTGTTCAAGTCGATACGATCGTAGCGACGAGTCGATCACGGCGGTGCACAGTGTTTAATTGGACATTGTACTGTGATTCTAGAGCGAAAATAAACGTATCGGTTGCAGCGCTGGTTGTTTCAGATTACGTATGAAACTCGCTGAAATAATATTGTTTTCAGGTTACACTCGGTCTTCTATTTCAAGATCTTTCATAAATTATCCCGTGCGTGATGGTTGCTTCACGAACGCACGCGCTTTGCTGCGATTGTTTAGATGTCACCGAGAATTGTGAACACGAAGTTGAAGCATTTCAAATTGTCATTTCTTTCATACAAATTGATTTGTTAATGTTTAGTCTCGATCATGTGACCTTTATCTTTGTGGCGGTCTTCCATTCGGATTATATTCCTCAGATATATTTCTCGTACATTATAAAACATCCGCTTATTTGATTTCCTTCGAACACCGAAGACATTAGTTGAACGTTTATCTGAAATCGTTGACGCAGACGGTGATTAAATGTTTGATAATAATATCTGGTCGAACAGAATTTTCCCAGAAATTTCGTGAATTTTTCTTTCCCTCGAGGTGAATGTTGATGCCCTCAACATAATTGGTAATATACACGTCATGCGCGCGAATCGCGCTCACATGACAATTAACAGGTATTAAATTCACTGCTTTTGCCAAGTGGCCGGTCCACTCAGTAGGACAAGCCGTCTCTAGGCAGACGTAAGACATTGAGACCGTCTGCGGGAATATATTAATGGGTGCAAGAGATCGGTATAATTCTACGATGTTCTACGTCATTCTTTATCAAGAAATTCATTGTCTGGGACATCACCGGCATAAACAGACCCGCGGCTCTGACCCGAACTTTTTGCAAATCAATCGTTTCTCGCAATAATTCTAAAATAAAACTTCTCGTGCCCTCGAATTACAAAATGTTTCATTGTCCAAAAGGTACATTTCGTTTACGACCAATGCGGATTCCAAATGATTATTTAATCGAGTACATTGTGCGATTACGTTGGTCCTATCTTCAGAACATTCGCGAAAATTATTCAATAAAGTGCGGATTTTTATGCAAAATAAAAATTGTCCGAGTTGATCGTATGAAACGTAAGTCGGATGAAAATGTCTTTCCTCTTTTAATAATGTTCTCAGAAATAATAAAATATTCTTAAATCCACCTATTGTATCCATAATTTTTTTTCTAACGTAGTCATTTTTATAAAAAATGCTTAAAACCCGCAGTCTATAATCACGTTGTTTGAAACAATATATATATATATGTAACATTAAGTGTGCACGTGACGAAAAATACTTTTAGGACAATCTTAATATTACATTTCAAGAATGCTTCTATTATACTTTGAAAATAGTTCTCTTGATTCTCCAAATATATAAGTTGCTATGCGATTTTAACAGCTTGGTTATGATCTAATAACAAATCGCTTTAGTTATCGAAAGATCTACTCTGTGATCGGCAACTTACAGAATTTTAATGCCGAGAGGCCACTGACTCATCGCGACGCACACAAACGCAAGCCGAGCCACGATCGTGGCATATCAAGACGCGTTGCCAGCCGTTGATTTAATTTCATCAAATTAACCCGGGAAGCAACAACGTTCTCGACGCGTTAATCATTTGGGGGAGAGAACGCGCGATTTCATTGTCCGCTCGAAATGTACCGAATCGGTTTACGGGATCTGCGAGTGAAGATACAAATGTCGAAGGAAGCTTACCATCATTTGGTAATTGGTAGAATCGGTTGCAAATTGAAACATCCACCACCGGCCAGGAAAATACAATTTTGTCATATGCAGTTTCGTTTTTGATGAAATTCAGTTGGAAAATTCGTCAGGTTTAATATTTACAAGGAGTAGAATCAGGAAGTCTTCAGCAGACAAGTCGGTCGATTCCTATTCGATAGTACACGATATTAAACAAATTTTGGAATTCGACTGTTTCAAAAACGAATCGTCAAATGAAAGAACTTTATTTCGTTGTTATTCAACTTATTCTTACGTATGAAATAACCCTTCGTCAGTTATACCATGATTTACGAAACACGCACATACAAAGTAAAATGTATCTAAACATACATTTATTGTATAATACGTTAATTTATCTACATCGAGCAAAATTTACATAAAATAGTAAAATATTGATCCATACACCAGCTGTAAAAACGAGCGTATCATTCGTTTGTACAGGTTGCAAAATAAAATGGACATATTTATGAGATAAACAATGAAAATAAGTAAAGTTGACAAATAAAGGACAATATGGTAACATATGGTCGAGGAAAACGTAATCCAAATGTATACTATGTAGCTCGTTGAACATCTTTCAAAACACTAAAGCTAGTACATGTGCAAAAGAAATAAACAGAAAACGATGAACCAATCGGTAAAACAGTTCGTGCATTCGTTGTGGAAGTTGATTTACAGATTTCGCAATTGTGCAACAATTTCAGCTGATGATAGACGCAGTAGAAAGTGTAGAAACAATGTAACACGATGACTGTGGATGCAACAAGACTTACTAATTCAGTCAGGTCCGAGACATTGTCCACTTACGCATTTAGCTCTCTTAAATTTTCATTTCCAAGTAGCCAGGTGAAGGAATCGACTGTTTGTACTAAATTCAGTAAAATGATCAACATTAACTTGAAAGTAGCTTCAGAAATACATAAATAACGAATGGATCTAGCCATGGCTGCCGTTAAATCAACTTTATGAATTGTAAAATGACCCATTCGAGAACGGTTAAACTGGATTCGCAAACGTTACAAAATAACTGAAAACGACTATGCTGTGCGAGTTTCCATCATTCTGATTCCTCCGAGTTCAATCGGTTCGATCTATTCAGACTGAAACTTTCAGATACTTGAAATGAATAATAGAAAACACATAAACCCCTAATGCTTTTTTAAAATAGTTTGTAGGAATGATAAGATCTTAGCTAAAACGGAAAAGAACATTTTCTTCTGCAGAAATACACACGTAATTCCGTTTAATAAATACACAAGCGTATCCGAATTAATTTGTAAAAGTGTTCAGTATATATTAAAACAGATGTATTTTCAGGATGCACACGAAAAAAGCCATTTTAACTCCAAATCCAAAATAGTTTTTCTGACCCACGGTATCTCCAGTTTATATCGCTTAGTGCATTTTCTACATACGGAATTTAATATTGTGACACATATAACAGTTATGCACGTAACAGTTTTTTTTTTAAATATGATCAAATTTGATAACGATGATTTTAGAACACGATATAACAATTTTTAGTGGTGCCTCAGAATCGCCACTCGAGTGTAGAACGTTAACAGATCGGTTAATAAAGTCTGGTATTCTCTCGTTTTCTCATTTTCATATATCCATTGTTAGAAAAAGTTTTATGAAAAAATCGTCCAAGAAGATAGTAACGATCAGCCGAATTTGTGTTCGTTTAACAGATAGAGCGTCATCGGAAATGCGAATTAAACATCAGAATACGCATCATCTGTAATCATCAATTTCGTTCTTGCTTAGATAGCCGTCCGAATGCGCGTTCGATATAACCGTATCCTAATCCGTACGCAGACCAGAGCTTGAGAGTCACTGGTAGACGAAGTGGAACGTGCCGAACGAACTAGTGCAGGCAAAGCTGCATTCTACCTCGGCGAATAAGGGTTAAAGCCTTCGAAGGCATCACGCGTCTTGACAACCTGTTCCCCCGACGTGTTGGCGTCCCTCGCGCGTTCCTCTCGCGATTCTCCCCTGAATCACGTTTTCATAATACCGTCTGATGTAATAGTGGACGCGTTGGAGCGGCGACGACGAAATAACCAAGACAGTATACTACCGTCGGAGAAACACTAGTAACCTTGCCAAGAACATCCACCGAACCGCACAATCGCTCATTCTCTCTCGAATAATTGAATCTCGTTTCTGGTACGCTCAGAACTTTGCCCGCTTCGAGGAATTCGACGGCATGCGAGACCTTTTTACTTACCGCAATATACATCGGGTGCCTTTTATTCGAAATATGCGGTAGTCCAGGTTGATTGAAGTCTATCGAAAACTTGGATGAACGTCTCTGAATGGCATGCGACCTATCGTCAACGATGCTAATTAAATGTTTGTCAATGGTTCCTTCAGCAGCAAAGCTTCTTTCATGAAGCTAGCGATTCCAGGAAAAAGTTTTCTTCTCACTAGAACAGTTTTCTATTCAGGATGATAAGCAATCAAAAACAGATGCAGTTTAGGAGATCGTGAAAAAAAAATCAACTTCAATGTCTACCGTGCATAGTAAATTACTTTCTCCGCTGCTTCTAGTGGTTAATCCGTTGCTGAATCGTTAAAAAACGAAACAAACTAGCACGTTCCCCTTTGCGAAAGGATGAGGTCTCGCGTCGTTCACGCAATCCAGCCACTTCTCGGCGATGTTCAACCGCTTCTCCGCGCAATGACGTAACGAACACTCTCAAAATACACGGTTGAGACTGGCGAACACTTTTTGTGGCTCTTTCTCGCGGCTCCCCGTAAAAATAGTACAGCGGCCCGAGTGCGAGAGAAAGAGATAGAAAGAGAGAGAGAGAGAGAGAGAGAGAGAGAAAGAGAGAGAGAGAGAGAGAAAGAGGGCAGTGATGTGAGTAACAACGTCGACTTGCCCGATTATCCCCCTCCCTTCTCTCCGACCGATGTGGAATCGGTCAATTATTATTCGGAGATTTTTGGGAAAACTCTCAGCTAGCTGGGATCTGGTCGATCGGCAGGAAAGAGCGATACCTCTTGAAAGCGGTGTTAGCAAGGCCGGCGCTCCGGTAGCCGCCGCTTTTAGCACACGTTCGAGTTATTTTCGCTCTTGCCGCCAAGCCTCTCGCTACCGTCTCGCCTGAAAACATATCTTCCTCGATGACGAGCCCGTCGCCGTCGTCGCTCGCCGATCTCGTAGGTGAAGATCAATCCGCGGACTCACCACCGAGGCCGGAAATCGGATTACCGTTGTCGAAACGGGGGTGGAACCACGGGGTGAAAGCCCCGAAACCCGACAGCCAGCCGCAAGAAGACCCGGACGATGAGCTCGCGAGTCGGGCCTATTTCCAGCCGCCGTGTCCTCGCGCCTTCTTTACGACTGAACCAAGCTTTTTCTCGCTTGTTAGCCTCTTCTGATAGCTCCTTGTGCATTTCTTGCTTTCCACTGTCGCCCCGTTCGATAGTCTTGGAATCTTGGTTTTTTCAGATCCGCGGCAAAATTACAGCGATGCGACTGCAAAAACGTCGAAAATGATTAAATAAACATTATTATTGGACTGAAGTCCATGCAGTACACGTATATTTTGTGTAAAAATCTGCAGTCTAGTGATCAAGATCGTTACAAAGCAGTCGGTATTTATATTAATGGAAGGATTTTTGTTCGTTTGTCGGAAGATTCTGAATCTAATTCTGTCGCCATGAAATGTAAAATAAATTACATACACTTTAAATTATTTTTAACCCTCATACGTTGCCGTTCCAAATAAATGCAGCAAAAATAATGTGTTAATATGCATTCATTTTTATTCACTGCTTAGAAGATAAATGTAGAGTTATCTCATTTCGATTTAGTTATGTCTTTCGATAATTCTTTGGTTTTTTTGGTTCATTTACCGGAATCTTCTTGAACCTTCGTGAATGGTTTCGTGTAATTTAACCAAAAACTTGACCTTTGCTTGTAAATATTGTAAGTCTTGCTGAAATATTCTAATGTAACATCAATAGTTTGTATACTTTTTATGTCCTCAACTGGAATGCTGGGATCATGACTAATCCTAACATTGTATTTCTATCTTACTTTATAGTAAAAGTTTAATTTTCCATGTTCTTATTATGTTATATACTAGCCAAGAATAAAATACAATGGATCGTTTATGTAGTATTAAATTACCACAACTGTTTCCACATTTAATTTAGAGTCTATCATGAGGCCAGTATACTGGTGATTTTTGTGAAAATCATCGTACCACCCAAGTGTTAAGAGAGAGAGAGAGAAAGAGAGAGAGAGAGAGAGAGAGAGAAAGAGAGAGAGAGAAAGAGAGAGAGAGAGAAAGAGAGAGAGAGAGAGAAAGAGAGAGAGAGAGAAAGAGAGAGAGAGAGAGAAAGAGAGAGAGAGAGAGAACTAGATTTAATATAACGTCAATTCCAATCCAATTTAATTCTGAAAATTCAAATGGCTTAATTGCCCGAACAGCGCACAGAGGGTAATCTAATTTTATCGTNTTGTGAAAATCATCGTACCACCCAAGTGTTAAGAGAGAGAGAGAGAAAGAGAGAGAGAGAGAGAGAGAGAGAAAGAGAGAGAGAGAAAGAGAGAGAGAGAGAAAGAGAGAGAGAGAGAGAAAGAGAGAGAGAGAGAGAACTAGATTTAATATAACGTCAATTCCAATCCAATTTAATTCTGAAAATTCAAATGGCTTAATTGCCCGAACAGCGCACAGAGGGTAATCTAATTTTATCGTGCTAAAATCTAACGTAACTTAGATTGTATTCGCATTAAATTATTTTTAACTTTTCTGTATTCCCCGAAAATAAATACATAGAACAATCTCAGATGATATACATTCATTTTCGTTGCGGAATTTAATTCCAGCAGTTGCATTTTATTTGTAGTGCAATATTTCAATACATTGACTATCTTACGGCATAATTCGTTTTCATGAAAAATTCATTTTTTGTGTAATTGAATCGTCATACTTCCAACATTGACTTTCAGATTTAAAGTTAATTGAACTTGAGATACTAATAACTCAATTGGTACACGTAATACTTATCTTTGAATACATGAAACTCAGAACATTCATAAGAAATGAATAAATAAAGTACAGAATTGTGAAGACATTACATTAATTTAATAGTATTGTTATATTATTTCTACCTTATTACAATGACTGGAAGAAGAAACACGTCTTCATTTAACTTCTTTTCGTATAATTGTAGAAGACTTTTAGTCTAGTTAAGTAGAACAAGGATTAACGTGGTAATTGTTCACGGTAGAAAAGTAATCGTGATTTTCATCCTGGAATGTATGTCTCAGCAAAGGAAAATATATATTACCGGTTTTATGACAAATGAATATGATTATAAAAGTCGTATGTATGACGCGTATCTGAAAACCTCTGCGCCCAAACGAAGCTTTCCAGATGCGCTTCCTGGTTTCTGCGCACGAGCTTTGTGAAAGACGAGCTCTTTCCGTCCCATTAATTAAGGAAAAGGTCTACTCAATTTTGGCTTCACTCCCCGTTTCCGTTTCATGGAAGCAGAACGATTATTTCCTGCTACCATCGCGCACGTGGTAGATCACCGTTGTAAAACTTCCGTTCGAGTATTTCGAAAAATTTCTGTTTTTCGCTGCTGTTGAACCGTGCGAAAATAATACATTGTTTCGCTGAACGATACTCGCACACAACCGATTGAATGACTTCGCTGCGCGTTTCGCTCCACTAATAAACTGTGCCATTTTCTTAACCGCGGGAAACCAGTTTAACCGCCGTCTCGGATTACGCAGGCAAAAGTCTTGCAGATGTTTGCAAATTCGACTAGAAAATCGAAATCCGAGTCTCGATCTTATTTCTTTGTCTTCGGAGATAGAGAAAATAGAGGAAAATATAAATGACTAAAAATAGTAATGAAACATATATTTTTTTTTAAATCGTTGTGCGAGGATAATCTAGTTACATTTTCCTTTGAGAAGTACTAGCATAATTGACAATAGAAATATAAACACGATGTAGGTGGAAATCTAAATTGTTATTTACGATAAATAATGTTGAGCAATTTCTATCAATAAATTTGCAAGTGAAAGCAACGCAAACTGTAATTACCGTATTGCTCTTCTAGGTCTATGATTGCGGATTTTATGAATTTGTGACAAGTATAAGTTAGTCAAACAAAAAAGATGAGAAACAATGGAAGAATGGGGAATACTTTTAATTATTTTAAAATAATTAAAATTATTAATAGAATAAATCAATTTCTATTTGCCTTTCTCTTTTTGTAAAGAATGTACAAACGTTTTATTTTGCACAAAAGTCCACAGACGAATGAGTAAAATTGTTTGATCGTATCGCATAACATATACCAGATCATAGTTGAAAACTGGTTTTGTTGAGTCTACGACGCTCGACCACCTGTCCGCGGCTAGACTTAATTTAATTACTAGCGTGCCAGGAAAAACTCAGAATGAGAAAATTGCTAATTCAGTGATAAGCACGTTTGATCTTCTGCCAACCGTTCGCGTTTCCCAATTATGCTATATACAAGTTACTATACGTTGTTTATTCAACGGCGGATTGTCGATACGTTTGCTTGACCACCGCCGTTGCTTGAATCATAAAATCATCGGCTTTCTACTATCCTTTGGGAATCATGAATTGAACTCCTTTGTAAATATAAAAAGAAAAGAAAATTTCTGCTTCTTAAACAGAATATATTTATACTCTCACAGGCCTCATATTTTCAAACAAAAGAAGATTAACCAACTTCTAAATCGTCGTAATAAAGTCTAGTAATTAAACGAGATCAAACAAACTATATGGCTCACATTTTTATACTTGATGCATAATGTAATTTAAAACAATAAGAATGTAAGTCAAGGTTAGAATAAATAGGTATTCAAATAAAAGCGAAACTGACAATCTTTTAAATGTTTTCCATTGAAAGGTTTTAAAATAAAAAATAGCTCAATATTGTACGCATAAAAGCAGTTGACGCAACGAACGAGATTTAGAAAAAAAAAGTCGCTAATAAATTACAAGTTTTATGAATTAATGGAAAAAACAAATAAGCTCGTGTGATTGAGAAACATCAACTTATTCAAATTATTGAAGGATGGAATAATTTTCTATATAGCCGGTTTGATTTCTTTCTGTTTTTATTTTAAAATACCTTTTTGTAAAATGTGACATTGTTAACGAAACATAGCGTGCTGATATAAAATGTGAAGTAAATGTAAAAGCAATGTAAATCGAATAGTCTCTGAAAAATAAAAATTAAAACAGTTTCAGAGATTATTTCCTCAATTGACGGTACGTTCATTAATTCGGAGTAATTATTTATTTTAATTATGCATTTTTTCTGCCTCGAATAATCATTTCAAATAAATATTTCTACCCTAAAAATATTATATCAAATAACTATTTTCACTTTGGCGCTTCAACATTCAGACATTCTAAAACTGAAGAAACAAACAAGTCATCGAACGCTATATTATTTAAATAAAAGTGCATCAATCACTATTTCCAATACTTTTTATTCGGATGGTACCCAACTCTGTTGCCATCCTAGGATGTTCCATGTAACTATTTCTGAGGAGCGTGCGATGGTTGAAAGGGAAGATGTTGAAAACACGTGATGAACCGGACCCAATATCGTACTTGAAAAACCACGCACGAGTTTGCCGGAGCCACAGCAGAAGCTCTGTACACCCACACGTTGTCCCAAATCGTTGGTTGGTGGTTTAGAGCCCACTACTACTGACACAATCGTCAGCCACAAGTCTACGTGGCGCAAGAAATACGGCCGATTGAGTGGCTATCTTTAGAGACGGGCTGGGACCCTGAAGATATGCTTCGAATGTTTCTTCCGG